TCAAATTATTTAACTTTTCCCTCCAAGAATCACAGACTCTAAGTTATTTACCTGGACCTTGTAGTGCAATACTTCACATACATTGCATTATCCTTTTTAATAAATAATGTACAATATTCTCTGTTTTAATATTCAGTGTGCAATAGTCTCTGCTTGGATATTTTGGTTACTCTGTCCTAATACTGTAGTTTATAAGGATTCAATTTGTAATCCATTCCACATCAACACTACCAGTACTTATTAGTAGGCTACAACTACTTTTTATTCACTACTATCATTACACTTCTTTTAATACTGTAAAATACTGTCCATATCCAAACTCCTTTTATATTTCTTTATATTTTCTACTTTGGATGTGGCTTCATCTTGGTATACCACAGCACACATACCGGCCATTCATTTTTTTTTTTTTTTTTTTTTTACAAAAGCAAGTATACAATACAATAATAAGATTAATAATAATTCAGAATAATTGGATTCATAATGTTAATAAAATAAATTAAATATTTCTTCATCTTCTTAAACAAGCCATGATTTTTCCAGAGCAACTATTGCACTTTCCAGTATGCACTTTCTTATCACAAATCTTGTTGTTTTTTTCAGGCGAAAAGCTATATTTGCTCTCTGACTTTCTCTCACTAGTTTGATGCAGAGGTGTGTGACTTTGCGTGGTTGCTTGACACTGATTTTCCTTTTGTTTTCTTGATGCTTTATCTCTATGTAGGCCTATGGTTTGTTGAAGGTTTGAAATAAAGCTAAAAATGCTTAGCCCTCGGTTCTCACATCACACAAGTTTCCACAATCCTGTGACATGGGCCAGTTAAATAGTGCTGTTTAGTGACACAGACGTTACAACAAAATAGCCTATGAAACGTTTGGAAATGATGCAACCACCCAAGTTTTATGTATGGAAGAAAGGACTGCACGGCATCTCCCATCCCTACTTCCCAGACATGGTTAGACAATGGGATATTTCACTTCCTTGCATTGTTTTCTGTTTAAAAAGAGCGCAACTTTAATAACTACAGCAGTAAAATGCAACATACACATTAATGCAGTATTGCAGTAATGCAGTAATTTTAATGAAAACATCACACCTAATAGTGAACTCTGAAAGGAACCTTTTTCCTTTTAGAACTTTAGGTAGGCTACATTTTGCTGATAATACTTACAAAGGCCTACTTTTACTTAAGTGAGCTTCTGAATCCTGGACTTTTACTTGTAGTGGAATATTTTTACAGATCCAGTGTTTCACACCTGCTCAGGTTACTGTGTTAATTCAGTTTTCCCCTCAGATCTTTGCTTCTTATTTGCTCCCTGAGGTCTCCTATCATTCATAAGTAGTTTTTGGGCTGATAGCCAAGGTTGAAGAAGCTGGGTGGGGGGTGACAGTGGACATACTGATCTATTAATATTAAATCAGGCAGGAAATACAATCTGCTCACCCACTGTTCTCCATATGGGGTCAGAAATAAAATACATACACAAGCAAACACCGAGACATGGACACACACACGCACGCACACACACGCACACAAATAAACAAGACTTGTGTTCCATGACTATTAGCTATTTTCAAAGGTCCGGCTGAGCTGGCAGCCCTTCATGGCCTTTAGCACAAGGACCATTTGTTTATCACACTTCAAGAGGGAATGATCAATATACTGTTAGGTAATCTACAGCAGTGCATCAAATCATGGCTGTTCTGTGAGAATTACATGTCTCTAAGAAGTTAACTTTTCATGAACTGAGAACAACAGCCGTTTTCAGCTTTCATTTTCAAGCTAATCCAGTTTTTTGTTTAATATGGTTTATTTCGTGTAAGATGTAGGCTAATTTGTTCAACCCATAAAGGAACATTTAATCATTCAGTTCATCAGAAAAATTCTAATTCACCAAATTTGGAGATACATGTTTTTTTTACTGGACAGAAAGGGAATTAAAAATTGTAATATGAAATGTAACTAGTAATTAAAGTAAAAAAGTACAATATTTGCCCATGAAATGTTGTGGAGTAGAAGTATAAAGTTGCATTAAATGGAAGTACTCAAGTAGCCTACATTTAGGCCTACCTCAATAAGTACAGTAGTAAAGTTACATTCCACCATGTATTCCACCATGTGTGCACAGGATCAACTCATATTTCATGTGCAAATATTTATTGCAGAGGACTACCAATATTATTATCCTTTGAAATAATATCAGTGATGGCAGATTGTGGTTTAACTTGGCAAATTCCAGTTTATGGTTTATGGGTTGTAGTTTTTTTCCAGTTGATCACCTTGGTCCTCTGACTTCATGATGACAAATGGCCTCCTTGGATACAGTAGACAAAACAGCTTATGACACACAGCTTGGTGAGTACTTATGGCTTTTACTAGAGATATCATCATCCTGGAAGCTACTGGATTGAATCATGGAGCAAAGGGGTGTACACTTGTGAAATGATTATTTATAGTCCTTTAAGGCATAATTAGAGCTAAAACAAAAAGCACCCCAAACCAGTGCACAGTCACAAAAGACAGTCAGTCACTGATGGTAGACTTGATGGTGGTATATTAAAGGTGTGTTGTATATGGATTTAGATAAATACTGACCTGTGTTTTTAGATAGGAAGGACTGTCTGGAGGAATGTTTTTACTTCAAATAGCCTATTTGCTGCCAAGTTAGTCCACACAAAGGCATAGCCTGTTTTACTGAGAACTGATCAGACTATAGACAATGGCGCCACCAGGGGAGGGCCGGGGGGGCCACGGCCACCCTAAGAAAATGGGTGGCCACCCCAGTGGCCACCCCTGGCAAGGAGCATATGCATAAAATACTGTTTATATTATGTAACATCTTGGTTTGAGTTAAAAGGTGAATAGCAGTATACAAGTGTTCTCAGATTAGGCTCTGTCACTTAAGAGGGTAACCTCTGACCCTGAGGTGTGACCGACTGTGATGTTTATTTTAGGAGAGGCCTCCTAAAATTGTTACTGGTTAAGGGGGGGGACTAACAAGCAGAGCGGATCGGAGTACACCGGTGTTGTGCCAAATGTGTGTGTTTTCTATGGAGGCAGCGACAAGCTGCAGAAGAAAGAAAAGTCTAATTTAATTAATCTACAGAAACAGTTAGTAGCGTGGCTAGTTTATAATAAGTTTTTCACACTGCTCCACAGTTTTGTTTATTTACTGTGTGTGAGAGCTAATAGTCAGCAGATAGCAACAGGTTAGCACCATCGCTAACAGCAAGCTAACGTGGTATGAACACTGAAGCCCTGACAGCGCGGTGTGTGACCGGCTGTTAACGTTATGCTTCAAAGGAGACCAACCTGTTTTCATCTTCATCTTAGTGAGAGGATTGCAAATCATGAGAACAGCGGGAGTCACCTGGACGATGCTGTGAAACTGAGCTCAAAATTACTTACTTGGCAGTCTGTCTGAGTCATCCAAAAGTTTGCCCAGAGGAAAAACCGCCGGGCCGACTTTCTCCTCACGTGAGGCCTTAGCTAGTGTGTGAAAGTGTCTTTTATCATCCTGACTCTGCTACTGGTCCCTGCATGGGCAAATTGTTGTGCAGGATCGGTTGAGACTAGGCTACGGATTACTGTTGTTGTCATGATGTTGTTGTCATATAGTCACTTTCATAGTGGTTTATTATTTGGGATTATTAGGCCAGTTTTCTGGCTCGCTGCGCTGTATGAAAGGTACGGAGCTGGAATGGGATATATATTGGGGGAAATTCTTTCCGTTTTGATTGCAGGATCTCTGTGGAAAGCGGCTATAGAAAGGCACTGGATCCCTAAAACCTTGTCTGTGCGCGTCGTTGACTTCATTGGTGTTGGGCTTACTGCTCTTTGCTTATGGCCCTGTAGGCTCATTTGTTCTGAGCTTGGCTGTGTCTGCTTAAATATTGCATTCTTAATCTAGGTTTATTACAGTGGTACAGTAAGTTGTGTCAATGCACTCCTCTCTCTCTCTCTCTGTCTCTATCTCTCTCACTATCTCATGTTAAGTGTTTTGTGGAGCCATGCTGTTTGTTGACATGTTAAAAAACACAGAAGCAAGAGAGAGTGTTGTAGTTTTACTGATATTTATGTTTTAAAATGGTTGGTGCCCCACCAGTTTTACAAATAAATATGACACTGGTCAAATCGGTTGTTAAAAAGTGGGGTATTTCAAGAATAATTATCCTAGCTGTTTGTAACAAGAATAACACCAAACTTAGTATGTAAACAAATAATTACACAACTCTATAGGACACATGTTGTATATTTCAATTTGAATTTAAAGAAAAATATTTATGCTCCATGATGTCTTTAATCTTGAGTAGGCTTGTTCCCAGTAAATGTTTTGTTCCTCCCCATCAATGCACTCCTACAAATAAAAGCTGTATTTGTCTTTTTTAAGGAAAAGGTTAACTTGCCTATTTAAAGAACAATTAATTGCCTAACACATACAGATAACAGGATTTTTATGGAATGTTAACTGAACTGGTTTTAGTCCATGAACATTAGACAATTTTAACTGTAAAATAAGAAACCAAAGTAATTCAGTCTGTGATTCCTTAACTCGTATTTTTATGTAGTATTCAACTAATCTATATACTGCATAATACAATTCCTGAAATTCAGTTATGGCTTTTGGGAAACCTTTGGGAAATTTTCAGTGGCCCCATCTGGCCACCCCAGGGAAATTTTCTGGACTACTTTTACACCATCTTTGGGTTTCAACAGACATGGCCCTCCCCTGCACCAATCAATCAAAAATAGCTCTGAACAAACACATGCCATTAAAGTGTGGGGATCTTTGTTATCGCATCTCTATTATTGTTGCTGGGCAAGGTAAGAGTTGGAGTTGGTTGGGGGTCGATGTGTCTTGTATACGTGCAAAAGCAAACCCAGCTACATTGCGATGTAAATAGCTGACGTGCCGCGAACACCGCCTGAAGAAACAGATGAAAAGGTTCCTCTTTAACTCTGTTGAAAACAGCGGCATACTTCTTCAGAGGTCCCTCGTGTGCTCATGTGACGGAGACGAGCTGTGTAGCTGTAGATCAGTGAACTAGCGCTTCTGGTGATGATGATACGGCTGATGGAGGGTATGCGTCTTCACTGGGCCAGTATTAAAGCGAGCAAAAACTCGTGAGACAGTAGGGAAGCACGCAGTCAGACAGGTCGTCTTGTGCTCACGGAGCTGGGATACTTCCACGGATTTCATTACGATGGCTTGGAGGGGCGCGAGAACACGGTCGTTTTGTCGACCAATTCATTATTTACCCTAAGGCCAGTGTTGTTTCTGTACAGAGGATTCAGCGGAAAGGAAAAGGTACTGTGTACAATTAACTCACTCAATAGGGAATGTGTAGGAGACGCTGCTACGCCGTGTTTTACCCCAAAATGACGGTGGTGGTAGATCTTTCCCCCAAACTGTTGGTCCAGTCAGTAGGATTAACGTTACCTCGGCATTGTTCGCTTATCAGAATTTACAGTCGGTGTTTTTACATACCATTACTTATCCTACATGTAGGGACTGTTTGGGCTTGCTGCAAAGCCTAAGCCCACGTCTGGACACACAATTTCCCAACCAGTGCTGTGCTGTTACATTACAGGCCTGCCTGGATCAAGATTCCCCACTGTGCCAACGGAGCGTTGTTAGCGAATGGCTAAGCGAAGCTAACGGTCCGCTGGTGGATATTCGTCTTTCAAACAGTTTTTACTTTGTTTGTAAATATCTGGTGAAAGTTAGTTCTGTCTGTGGATTCCTTTTACAACTCCAGCGTTAACGACACCCTATAAAGTATGACACACTCACAGGTAATCTTTATGTACACATTGTTATATAGAGAGACTGAGCTAGTTACAACGTTGAATCATGGGACCACTTTTCCATGACGGCCTCTGAACTTTGTTGTGAACGAGTCGTGGGTAATGTAAGCTACACGGCTTGCAAGTGAAAGTTAGACACCTAACCTTCGACATGTCCTGAACATACAACAACTTTGCAACTGTGCATAACAAATGAGTGTAATGCTGCTACTGGAACCCGCTTCCCCTTGATGTGGTGCCTCAAAACATCACACTGTGGGACTGGAAGGTCAGGGTTAACCATTATTTCACCCGCTGAATGACTTTGTTTGCTCTTTTCCTGTCTGAATGTAAGTTCCATTTTAGTTGCATAATGTTGGACACTGTTCGGCAGTTAATCTAGAAATGTGATATCTGAAATGTTTTGACTGGACTTCCAAGAGTTGCACTGGACATATACAGTTAATGCTGTTGAATGTGCTGCACATTTGAATTAATGGTTTTCAAAACTTGTCAATAACAGTGATTTATCTGACCTCCTGGCAGTTTGTGAAGTATTGGTAACTTTAGTGTTAACAATTTGCATGTTATTTATTTAACCCATAGCAGTATTGGTTGATATGTTGTATTTTATGTAAGTTGAGCCATATCGTATCAACAGGTTGCTTTTTATTTTAGGGAACCATTAGTATATACACATTGTTAGGATTATGAGCTGCTCTCAACTGCTATTTTGAAATGCATGGTTTTGCAGAAGTAGGCTATTACACTCTTATCTTAGCTCAACTCTGCTCCGACCACCCTCCTTTCCACTTCCGTCTAGCAGTTTTCAGGATGAAACATAATAGCCAGAGATGGAGTTGCATTTATATCTTTTAAACACATCTGTCGTCATTTTCCACAACATTTTTTGTTACAGCAGGGTCAATGACAGTGGTAGATCATGCTAAGATTAATAATCATAATGCAACACTGAGGGTGTGGTTTCTTATAAGCTAGTAGGAACACTACTGGTTTTACAGAATGACTAGTGTATAAGATTAAGTAGGATCTACTGGCAGAATACGGCAGAAATTGAATATAACTTTCATAGTTTTTTTTTATTAGTATATAATTACCTCCTTCATCTTTTCACCAATAAGAATAGTTGTGTATTCATTACATTAGAGCCCTACAACAGAGGCCCCCATCTTGGGGGATCAGATCACAAGTGGAAAGCTCCAAGTACATCAGTTCTTACCTGGGATTAGAATGCGTCTCGAATGACCACTTGTGACCAGATCTTAATTCAATATATGCAAATGAACAGGTACATCATTTCTTTTTGCAAAGACCAAAAGTGTTTTTGTTTTTAACCTGCATTTGATAAATTTACTGTTTCTCAGACCACAGATGAGACAAGAATTAGGTCGGAAAAACAATAGACGTCGCCAGAGCGCTGGGCCTCGCTGATTACTGTACAAAAACACAACATTATTATAATTTTATTAGCTGATTTTGGGGAAACTGGATTATATTTTATCAAATATTTTCTGGTTTTCCCTTTTGATGTCCTCCGGCTACTTTGCCCCAAGTCTTTGTGATTAGATTTTTTGTATGCATCAGGCAAGCAATTCTCATTGGACTGAACAGACTGCATCTTTGGGTCAGGTATCCAGATCTAATAATACATCAGTGTTTCACATCCACAGAGTCCGTCATGTTTCTACAGTAGCCCAGAATAGCCACACTGATCCTTTTAACGTATGCTTTGACAACTGATAAGTAGCCGTGTGTATCGCTGTCATCATTGCTCAGTGTCATATCCACTGTTTCAAGAAAACCTAATGATCACAAAAACAGAATTATAGTCAGCAGTGCTTCTTGTTGAAAACATTTTCTTGTTGTACTTTTTATTGCCTTTGGAGACTGTCCTCCAGACATGATTGAATAGTCATCATGGAGAGAGGATGGTTTATGTAGCCAAGGGAGAAGATTTTCTGCCCTCCCTTCGTGTGTGTTTCTCTTTGCTGTCAATGTTTGTTAACAGTTACGCCTTGCTTTTGTTTCCTTTGCTGTTGACAGGTGAATTTCTCTTTTGGGATGTGTAAATACTATGTACCTGTCCCCTGTTGTCATTTCAGGTGATGACCTGGATTGTGCCGTGTGAATGACTGAATACCATGAAGCACACACAAAAGCTGCTGTTTATTGTGTGCTTCATCCTGGTACTGGGCTTTATTTACTACGCCTCCTGGAAGCTACATCTATACGTATGGGGTCAGACGCCTCGTAAGTAACATTTCCTGTGTTGACTATTTTTACATTTATTCATCCCCTGATCATCCATCTGTCATAACCCATAGTCCTTTTGAAACCTACACGTGTTTTATCTGTTTTGAAATCTGTTTCTGTTTTGCTATTTGCCTCTCTGTGCTGTCTATTTTAAATTTTATTTTTTAGGCTCTCTTTTGAACCGTTAGTATGTCAGACTGTGTGTTGGGGTCTCAAAACTTTTTCATTCACTTTACCAGAGCACCAGATATTATGGGGAGAGTTAATCTGATTCTTGGACATCTTAAAACCAGCCCATGTGGATTGCCTCACAGATGGAAATCTATTGACAGCCCTCTACCATGGCTACTTTAACTATACCTATGTGTTAAACAGCATACTTACTTTCTCTTCTACTTTTGCAAATGGAATGAAATGGCATTTTGAGATTTCCACACTTTGATGAATACAGAATACATATAACATGAGGAGAAGTATGCGTGGCGGTATCAGGGTATTATAATATCTTGAAGGTGTGATTTTCAATACAGTCAAACGCAGACGCTCCTCTTTCTGGTATAATATTATTATTAATAATAATCTTTATTTGTTGAGCACTTTTCAAAAACAAGTTACAAAGTATTTTAACAATTGTAAAGACAATAATAACCAAAAGACAATAATACAAAAACAATACAAGATAAAAGCAAGAAAACATTGAAAAGACGAAAATACACGTTTAAGATAAATATTAAATAAGTAAAATAAAATAAAAGGGATAAAATAAAGTCCAATAAGATCGGGAAAGGCTCTCCTATAAAAGTATGTTTTAAGAAGGGACTTAAAAGAGTTCACTGACTCAGCCGACCTGATTTCCTCGGGCAGGCTGTTCCAGAGCCTCTGGGCCCTGACAGCAAACGCTCTGTCCCCTTTAGTTTTCAGTCGTCTTGTCTCACCTGTATCACACAGGATATGCGTATCGCATGCTGCATTCACATACTCCTCGGATGAACCCATTTCCCATGTTGGGAAATTGATCTATCGACTTTGGCGTGTTGAGCTTTAAGTCCTAATGTGTGTTTTTTTTTGTTTTTGTTTTTTTAAATGGACGCTACAAAGATGATGTGCTGTACTTTATTACTCAGAGCGTTTAAACATGTTCACAGCTATTTCCAGTATTGCAGACTTCTGAGTTGTTGTTCCGACTGCTGCTAAACCAGTACTGTAAAGGTTAGAAAACCTGTGCCATTTCAAAAAGGGACATGTCAGCATGCTGCAGTGACGTCTGTCATCTCAAGCTCAGCTTTTTTACTCATATACTGTCAGTGCTTGAAGTTGGCGTACCGGGACTTTTTCTTGCGTACTGTTACTTCTCAAACTGCCGGTACTCTCCTCTGCCCTCTCCATATCAGGTTCTCTGGGCACTATGTGCCGCTCACCTGCTCACCTGCACTTTCAATCAGCTGTGTGCAGAATGTAGCTTGTCAGTGTCAGTTTTCATGAACTGTCCAATCACAGCCTGGATGGGGCTGGACATTGAAAAATCTTGCCAGAAATGTGTCATTTAAACTGGGGACATGTCAGAATCAGAAGTTTCCATCACTTTTTAAAAGCTTTTGTTAAAAATGTTCCCGGGAAAAACAGCTTGCAAGGTTGTTAAATAACAAATGAAACAATGCACAATAAGAAAACATGAAATGGAATTGAAGTATAGAAGAAACAAATGTGCATTGGACCACAAAGTAACTTAAGCCAAAACAACAAGCTCCTGATTACTGCATTATATTCATTATATTTTTATATTTTGAATTGTCACCTGCCAGGAGGCATGTCTTCCACTTTACCCTGGTAAACCCGGGTATGACTATGCCTCCTTGTAAAGTTGGATTGGAGTTTCTGAGTCTGTATTTAGAGAAGTGATGTTGCAGAATTGAGCTGATGTTGGGGAGAGTGGCCTGAAACCGCTGTCAAAATCCAGCAGATGGGGCTAGAAGATTTCTCTTTAACAATTTTGAAACTTCCTTGCCTGTGCCCCGTACAGAGTATATTTTCTAGGGGAAACATTCTCAGTTACATTTTGCTACAGAAACCCCAAATGTCAGTGTTTTGAACCAGATTGAGAGCCTACCCAGAGGGACAGGATAGGCTGATAGAGGAATGTGCCCATTCCTGTCGTATCCACATTTTCCCCAACTGTTGTTTGTGTGATGCAAGAGTACAGTCTTATGCATCAGTGATCTTAGGTAGAAGGTTATGTTTGTGGTATGCTGATTCATGTTGACATGTTAAAGCTGGGATTGATGGTCTGTTGTGGGCCCGTCAATTCACACCGCTCTATCCTCTGTGCCGATTATCAGCATCTGCCTCTGCTTTTACTATAATCAGGATTCTTTTGTCAAAAGGTCCATTCTGACACATCTCTCACTCCTCAAATGTTTTAAAATCTGTAACATCTAAATATGCGAATATACGTTGTAAATTATGAAACTGATGAGGAAATGTGCTGGAGCTTAAACAGCTGAGGGGTTTCTGAAGCTGTCAAGCCATGGCAATAAACATTAATAACGTCAATCATTTAGAAAGCCTATTTTCTTCTCAACTTGTCACTCTTCTCCAGTGTGGCCCCCACTGTGAGGAGAAATAGGACTTAAAGTTTTACTTGTCTTATGTGCCAGTGGTGCAAGCATTTTTTTTTATCTCTCTTATTTGAACACTGAGCTCTACCGTGAAAGAACTGTGTGAAATTCAAAAGACATTACCTAATCATATCTGAGTCTGAAAGGGCTGTGAAGCCAACTGAATACGCTGTAATGCAATAAAAAAAAAATCTATTTTATTGGCATGAATGTTTTGAGAACAGTGTTGCCAAAGCATCAAAATATAATGTGGACAGCATACAATAACAGTAATATGACTGTATAAATAAATGTGTGTCAAATAAGTCTTTGCTGCTAATGTTTGCTTATTTCATTGTGAAATAGGTTAGTAGTTTTACTCAAGTTCTTCATATACCACAATTTAATTTCTTGCCATGCCCCCTGTATTTTAACTCATTAGCAGGCTCACAGTCAAAGGGATATATATATATATATATATATATATATATATATATATATATATATATATATATATATATATATATATATATATATATATATATATATATATATATATATATATATATATATATATATATATATATATATATATATATATATATATATATATATATATATATATATATATATATATATATATATATATACTTTTTTATCTGTAGATGTTATCGTTGCTATAGGTGGCTTTCATTTACCTGCAGATTGGATGGAAATGTTTCTATATTTCTGAAACATCCCATGTTGCATCACAGACAGCATGCTTGATCAACAGATGACCTAGGCTGTGATCCATATTCCAGTGATTTCTCAAGCTGTGTTTCAAAGCAGAAACGCAAAAGGAGAGCCGCTTTGGCTGCAGTGACAAATATTGGCTTTCTGCATTACTGTGGTGCCAGATGTTTGGCTTAAAGATGGTCAAAAGGGAAAGATGAGCATGTGGATGGTCTCTCCTGCCCTCTGCCCTGGTCAGCTAAGCTATGCGGTCTCACTGAGAGGATCAAATCTGGATAATCTCTTCTTCCCATTCTTGATTTACTCACTGCTCCACTGAGACAAATGGAACATGCAAAGGCTTATGTCCTGTTCACTGCCATTAAGAGCATCTTTGTAGTTGTTCTGTACTTGTTTTACCACCTGTTATTCTTTGATTGATAGCACCAATGAATTCTTGTTTTATAGGGTTTGGCCCCATCCACACTACTCCGTTTTAATTTACAAACGGAGAATTAAAACAAATACGATCTCTGTCCAAACAAGCGTTTTAGCTGCGTATCGGAGTTGATCTCGTCTACATTAAAATGTCTGAAAACGCATATTTAGTGCCTGTTCAGGTACACTGGGCATGTGCGTGCCGGTGTAAACGTGAAGCAGATGGTCTATTCCGTAGTTACAGAAGATTTTGCAAAAGAATATGTCAAAAGAATATTTTTTTTTTTTTTGCATGCACCAATAACAAGCAGGGACTTTTACTGAATGTAACACGGTACTGTGGTGGCGGAAAACAGACTGGGAGTCGTTTCAAAGGAAACGGTGATATGCACAGTAGCCTACAATTGTAGGCAGATAGGCCTAAGTGTTATTTGCACTGGGTACAGAATATTTTAATAAAAATACCAAAACTAAAACTTGTGTTTCTGCTTTGCATAACTTATAAGACCCAATCAGAGAGCCGAGCTTGAGCGGCTGCGTCATCGTTTCTAAAGTCGTCCATTTTGGCCCGTCTTCACTAAAACTCCCTCCGGAGTTTTGAAACGCAAAACTGGGTCGGCAGCATTTCCAAACTTCTCCGTTTTAGGTCTTCGTTTTTGCCATTTTAGTCTGGACGGGAGGTGCAAACGTAGCAAAAAGTCTCTGTTTTACTTCCAAAACGCAGGTTTGAGACCCACCAAAATCCACATGACCTATCTCCATTGAAAAGTGATGACAAAATGAAAAGGATGAGCCTTATTAATAAAGACTCGTATTAGTCAAATTTTCAAGCTGGCTTCCTGTAGTGTAAATTTGTGCCCGGTCCTGTTCTTCTTTAGCCACTGTGTTATGAGTGTAGTTATTTGTGTAGAATTGTTTTCCATTACTAAACCAATGGCCAGATGCAGCATTTCCCTTGGCATTTGTTTAATGCTGTCTTGTGACTCTCTGCCTGCTAAGCTACGTTGGAGTGACCATTGTCATTTCTGTCAGCTGGAGTGAATGTTTGACTCTTTATAGCTGCTCCAGCAATGCTCTCAGTTATCATGGTCAAGAATGGCTGTGGCTGACACACAAGGGCCTGTTAGCTGCCACTTGTATCTCTGGCTGTTTTATTTTCTGTCACGTTCAACTCTGACACTGTAATTAAAGGCTGTGCAGCTATGATGAAATACAGTACAACTAATGCGATGATGTTGCCTGTTTGCCAGACATGATCGGGTTTTTAATGAAGCAAACTTTCAATAGCCTTCAGCTTGTTTTGTCACCGCTGTTGTCATTGATCGGTATTGATGTTGTGAGACAGCTTTATTGAATATTTATTTTGGCCTTGATTTGTGTGTTTTGATGTAGCATACTCTATAAGTAAGGTTTAAAACTGATGAATAAAGTAGGACAATCATGCTTACCAGATAATTGCTGTAATGAACAATTTTAAACAGGGTCCACTGATTAGACATTTTCCAGAACTTGCAGCCACATGTCATGGCCTTCATCAACAAATGGAGTTTGCTTAGTTGTCATGGCATTTTGGAAATATACGGAAATATAATAGGGCTGAAACGATTCATCGATTAATTCGACTGCTGCAATCAACGTTAGCTGCAGCCCTAGAATATACAGTCTTGGCAGCATAAGGGGAATTTATTGTATATTGGTTGTATATGGTTGGACAAGGCGTTTTTAAAACCATTTTCTCAGTGCATTGTGGATGGAGATCTTTTATCTACCTTTTAAAGTGGACGTGGCTTAACATGCACTGTATCTAACCACTTCTACACATGGCTCCGACAAGATTACACCATCAAGACTGTTTTCTGTTGGGAGTCTGTCACATGGCGTAACGCAGCTGTTTCAAATCAATGGGCAAACTCTTGTGTAAGACGTGTCCTCTTCAAACTTTGTATAATATAGATGCAGCCAACTTTCTTTTGAGTTCAGAGCAGCAACAGGTTTCCTGTGCTGATGGTTTGGAATTTTAGCTAAGTGGTCTACATCACTAGAGGTAATGGAATAAGTAGAGAATATTTCAGCTGCAATAGACAATAAAAAATTATACAGTGTAAAAAATGTTTGATTCCATTTTCCTGGTTGAGAAGCTACTTTGAGAATAGATGTTCAAATACATAATTTCAGAGCTTAGGTCACTTGTGTAGTTTCGCAAGGCTCTGTTCTGGATCCAAAGCTCTTTGTACTGAAAATTGTTATATTTACTCATGAAACAATTATTTTGCTCAGGGAAAAATGTGCAGTTATTTCTGGATACAGATGAAGGGGAATTAGAAACCCTGAAGAGGTGGATACTAATAAATTGTCATTAAATCTAATTTAAACCAAATTTTGAATCTGAAGAAACCCTTGTGATCAATGATGTAGAAATTGAAAAACTGTGTGAAAACTGCTAATATTGCAACGGTAGCCAACAAGCCACAAATTACATTGTTGTTGATTTCACCCCTAAACTGCTTTTCTTAAATAAAATACTCAAATGGCTCATGGCAAATGTTGTTTTTATGCTATAAATCCAGTTGTTTACTTATGATTCTCTGTGCGTGTCTAAAGTATATTTAGAATATTTCTAGACTCATAAATCTATAGATAAGGTCAGCAGTTGCTCAAGGAGTGTGCTTCAAATGTTCCTGACCCCAGCTTGGTTTTCAACATCTTCTTGTCTTGGGGAGCTGAAGTGGTCATCAGTGATACGCCTATACAGTTTCATTTGGCACAGAGTTTGAGGTTTACTAATTGGGGAATTTGATCTACCAGAAGCCTTCACATGGAGAGGCTGCATTTTCTTTGTAGCCAATTATAACATTTTTGTACAGCATTTTTACATTTGCTGTCCTTTGTCACAAGGAGCACTTGTTCTTGTTTTGTTTTGAAGAGAGCTTTGTTGTTCTGTCATGTTAATCATAGGCATTTGGATGGAATGACATGGCAGCTGTCCTCTGATTATTTTGATAGAAGCAACAATTTCAATTTCTTCTCCAAAACACCATGTGGGTTTTTGTTTAAAGCTAACTTTCTTCTAATTTAAAAGTCCTCAGTCTTTATCTATGTGTTTTAAACAAATTATACTGATTAATTTGAAAGAGGAAGCATTATGAACATGGCTTTAATCATGTTCAGAGTAGGCCACAGCCATTTACTGTGGATCTGTCACTTCTGTTAACACATCTTTTTACAGAAATTGTGAGAATCTTTCACATTGTTCTGTAATACGACAGACTTGGACACTAATAAGTCATTCTTTAACATTTATACTGTGTTGTTACTGTACTCCGAATGTCACTTCTGTGACTGTAGATACACATAGGAGGATCAGCTTTACAACCCTCTGATGTTTGGTTTCTTTCTGTGTCTGCCTTGTGTTTATCTGTTTTTGTACCTAGCCACATTTATTTATTTATTTATTTATTTATTTATTTATTTTAGTGCTATTGCCTGGGTTAATAGTTGGTTCCACAGCTCTATAGTGATGATTCAGTGTCTTAACCCCCTTTTGTTTTCAGAGAGGATTGCAGAAGAGACAACTGTAGTCCTGACAGAAGTGAAAAGAATTACAGGTAGAGGCACTGAGACTCTGCCCCTTTATACTGGGTGACTGTCACACTATTGTGAAATGGGGGATTTTAAACTGGGCTGACTTCTTTCCCCCCTGAAATATAAATCTCTGCTAACTCAACAATGAATGCTTTCCACTTTCATCTACCTATCGTAATTTTTTTTCACTTTATTACCAACAGTGTTTGTGCTCATTCACTCATTCAGACCTTATGGGTAACTTTCAGTATGCCACTGCCATAATAATCGCAAAAACACAATGGGGGCTTTTTGCAGTTCATTTTCCACTTCATTGGGCTTTCTGTCTTTGAATAAAGATTGAGACTTTCATTCTGCCTACTGGGATTAAAGCTACTAACCTATCCTCCTTCTCCTCTTCTTACTCTGTAATGTCTGACATTTTGAAGTTGGCTTCATTTTCAAGTCCAATACTGCCATAACAGACAGGCATCAAACGGTGCTAACTGACCATTTTGTGTTTCAGAGTTGAAAACAGACAACAACGTGGGACGAATAGTAGGTACACCAGGTACATCTGCAGCCCCACCGAACGAACCCCTAGCCATCCTTGCTATTCCTCTGCCATTAATAACAAATAGATGGAACCATTTAAAACCCCGCAGTCCTTCAGCAGCCACATTTGGGTTGGGAAGCTAACAACACTTTCAAATGTCCAACCAGATCTGTTACTAACCGGGAACGTGTTTTTAAAGTTGTTACAAGTTCATAAAATATTGAATTTGCTACACATGACAACTAGTGAAAACCTCTGTTCAGCCATTGTTGGCCACATGATGCTGCTGTGTGATACAACACTGCCCCCTCTTGTCATGGCTTAGTAACAGATACTTAACAAGTGAAGCAGTCAGCAGGAGTTTTTGTGCACAATACTGTAAGGTTCCACAGACCTGCATTTGTCTTCCTGGTAGGACCCTGCCACTTTAATTTCTCTCAAGCTGTTGCCTCGACTTGTCCCCCTGGCTGCTTTATGCTTCTTAACAGAAACATAATGCACACGCACACTCACATTCACTCATCTTGGCTTCCATGGCAAATCCTCTGGGGCAGTGCTTAGATCCTTCCCTAGCCAGCCGTCACGCATTCCCATTGTCCTTTTCTTTATCTTTCTCCTTCAGCTTCTCTGTGAAGACCAGATCCGCAACCACAGGAGTAACACCACGCACTTCATACTTTCAAATAATGCTCATGTTAAACATAGCACAGCATTTTACAGACAGAAATGAGAATTATATATTAAGTTTTATAGACCCAAGGCAACAGTAGATATTCAGATGACATCATTGATATAAAGTTCTCATTTTTCCATATCCTAGTTTTCTGTGCTTCTGTCTTCTTCCTCAACACTTCACCAGGCATCTATTGGCTGCCTTTGTGGTTGTCCATAGGTGATCTCTAACTTTTTTTTCTAACTTTTTATATATTTTATAAACTCAACAGATTGTTTTGGCTGGCTTCTCCCTAACCTCGCTTGTTTTTCACAAATCCTAATGCTTATTTTTGTTTACATTGGCCATATTGTTTTTCTTGTGAAAGATCCACAGGTTGTTCACAACTACAGCTAATGAGCTGATAGTTGAAATTAAGTAGATTGGATGACCTGAGGTAATAATCCAATATTTAAAGTTTCAACCCCAAAGATGCCACACTTTCTATTGACATGTTTTGTGACCTGCATAGTAATAGATTGTTTTCCATCTCTGTTTTTGTCTTTCTTTTCCAGTGTATGATACACAGGGCTTTTCCCTGAATCTGGACAAAAAACTGTGAGTACATCTCTCCTAGTAAACGTGTTTTCAATTCCCCATTGTGGACGACATGGGATATTTCTACCTTTTTGTTATATTTGAACAGCTGAATTCCCAGTTAGACGTTGCTTCCATTCGTTTAGATATGTTTTACAGCATGTTCCACTTGATACTTATTCACACAGGTTCTGGTTGATCAATGGGGAATCATGAAAACGTAAACCTTTGACCAATTAACTTCACTTGATTTTTTTTTTTTTTAAACAAACACATAGCATCTCATTGGAGTCCTAACCAAAACCTGATGACAAATGCACAGAATTGATTGGTGGTCTGAGTAATACATTAAGAGAATTGTGTGAATTGAAATGTAGTCTGTTTTCCCATCGATTCCAGAGCGGCTGTGGTTTGTCAGGGTGAGAACATGCTACATTGAGTCATTATAAAGCTGTCATTATGTCAGCGCGTCTTCTGATATGTGTATAATTCCCTGAATTGGTTTGACACTCTTGCTCTAAACTGCCATGATAAGGTCTCTAGCCTCGCCTCTACAATATAGGCAATAATCATATGCTGCCATCACCACCCTCACAGGGCGCGTCTGTCCACACTATGTGCACACACTGTAAGCATTATGTCAGCACACACTTTAAGGTGGTTCTCACATGGGTTCAATTTGTCTAATATAGCTCCTTACATTATATCTTCAGTGCCATTAATTACTCCATTAGAGCACATGCATACAATAGTGCAATTCATCTTAAAGCTACTAATTTGTTTTGTGACTTGGGATCATTTATTCCTGCTGGTGGTCCTGCTTATGGAAAAAGATAGATTTCATTCTCACCAAATTGCTTATCATCTTGAGGCCAGTTAAAGCAAAGCTGCAAGTGATCTAGCTTACTCAAATATAATATATTAGCCTAAAAGAGCTTGAAATTGTGCACATGCATGCCCGAGTCCAAGCCCCTTCTCCTGCCATCTCTGACTTTCAGGCCTCATGTAGTGCAAAGACTTGGGCCTCTCTCCCATTTTCCCTGTTTATTTGAACTAGATTCATGGCATGCATCAGGTTATTAATGATCATGCTAGTAATCTGGACCTTCTAGTTTTAGCACTGCCAGTGTGATTATTTGAACAAGGCCCCTCTGCTTTGTCTTGCCACACACAGGTGATATGCTGATCTGTTCCTGAGTTCTCTCACTTCCTACGCAACCCCTTTTTCTCCTATCTTTCAAGCAAATTGTTTGACAAGCTCAGTTTTTGAAGCTTGGAAATATGTCAGTATAATGGATAATTAGTTATCATGATGTGTCTGATTAATCGCTCCCTCTGATTTATTAATGCACAGGCCACCAGAGTTGGCATACAAGTATGACAACCTCAGCGAAGAGGAGTGCAAGCCAGGATATGCAGCAGCCAAGATGACCAACATCTATCCTAAGTGAGAAGCATTGCTCTTTCATTCTTTTACACACCATTTCGCAATCAGGAGCTTCACAAATGAATCACTTAAATTGAATATCAGCAGGAGAAAAGCAAAAACTGCCACTGGTACATACCGAGATGCATGATGTCACTCGTCAAGCCAGCTTGGCCTTAAGGGGTTTGAGTCAGAAACAGAGAAACCCCCACATTCCTATCCAATCTTCCCCAGTTTCAATCATGTTTCTATCATCTTCTCCCCCACCACAAAACCACGACTGTGTCCTTGTGATCCCCCTGTTACACAAAAGAACCTTTGTCACCCGAGTACAAGGTCTCCCATCTTTCTCCTATCGTATCCTAGAGCCTTAGAGGCTTTCTCTATGAACGACACCAACTGACTTCCTGTCCTGACTCATCACGCTTCCTGGTACCCAGCCCACACAGTCCTCCACGGTCCTCTCTGATGTCATTGGCTCTTTTGATTTTTCTCTTTGCCTCCATTTGCTGCCCATCTCAGCTCGATCTATAGGGCATTGTCCTATCAGCATTCCTGGAGCTAAGCTAATAGAGGAGCAATTTGCAGCATTGCTGAACAATAGCCGGTGGCACTTCAACATCTAGTTGTGGGATTATTATGGTGTTATTTACCAATCCATTTCCAAGAATGGAACCAGATTATCTATTGTCTCACGATGCACAATTAAGTTTATAGTATACCAGTTCAACAATAAATTCCAGTATTTTTAAAAAATCACATATTTCACTTTCACTATTTTACACAATCCTGCTACCAACCTTCCACTCTAAGTGGCATGTGTGATATTGTGTCCTAGTATTCTGTTTATAAAGGAACCACTTAAAATGAAGTGTTTAATTGAAGATATCCAAAGCATATTGCATAAAATATACAGCCTATGTTGGATGAATTGACAAACCAACATCATCAGCTATAAATTCCGCTGCTGCTTAACAAGAGAGGTGAAGCAGTTTTCGTGGAACTGCTCTCTACCTATCTGAGCGGCTACGTGTTAACCATGTCCTCCCTTGTAATGACTTCCTCTAATCAGCCGCACGTGTCGGATCAAAGTTCTGTAAAACACGGAACCCCCTCCGGGAGCCCACTGATTACTACCACCTTCAGCCCAGTCACACACAGGTCAATGAGCACAATTAACGCCACACTTTGCGTTAGAGTGTGTGTGTGTGTGTGTGTGTGTGTGTGTGTGTGTGTGTGTGTGTGTGTGTGTACATGTTTGTTGGAATGCGCGAGTGCAAGTGTATGGTTGGGTTGAACCTATACAATCGCATTGTATGTTAGTATCAATCGTTTCCAGTGTGAAAGGGAGTCAACCAATTAATATGTTGTTTGTAAACTCTTCTTTCTTTAGCTCGGTCTGCTTTGAATGTTTACCACCCAAAAACAAATCAATTTGAAAGTCCTTGTTAGCATTTTGTTTAAATACGTGTGGCCTACTGTTCAGCTGTTAGAGAAAACCTACTTAACCTTGAGTAGTGAGGTCCTGTGGCTCTCCCTCTAATCATCTCCCGCTTCCTCCATGTTTGTCTTCTCTGAAGCCCCTGCCTTGCAGAATCCAATTTATTTTCCACACCTCCCCTCCTCTCCGCTTTACCCAAAACTGTTTGTATTGAAGCCCTAAATCAAGTGTTGGCAGTGAACTTGAAGCCGCGCGGTTATGAAAATATTTCCACGTGAGAGATGGACCTCGCAAAGGAAATGAGTACAATGCATCCCTGCACATTGGCTGTTTTGGGAGCCCTCACTTTTTATTTAACAACAAGCAGCCCCCTGTCGATCTGCTTTGTCAGGATGTCAGTGACTGTCGGTCAGGGCTTGGTGACTTGCAGTGGTCCTGTGTTATTTTGAGTCTTGGGTTTAATGAATCTCCATTTGTTTTGGCAGGACAGAAGTCTGTGTGTGTGTGTGTGTGTGTGTGTGTGTGTGTGTAAGCCCCCGTCAGGTGATGTGAGGACCAGGGGAGTCATACATAACAGCCTCTCCTCTTGAGTCCCTCTGCTTTCATGCTTTAAAACTGTAGGATAATAAGGGTATCGAAGACCGATTAGGGTGCATGGAAGATGTTCAAGCTAACCGGAAGGCTTCCAATTAATGTCGGCCATGTTTGGTCATTGTGCCTCAGAGCTTCACATTTTTCTTATGAACCCATGGCAGTGTTATTGAAACAAGCTATCCCAAAATTCCTGCTGAGAAACAAGGTAGTGTGGCTCCAGTTTAAAATACCTTTGCCAGTTAGTGTAGTCTGTCAGGCTGTGGGAGCCATAATATATCACTGGTGAGAAAGAACGTGTGTGAGGGGAGCGGCGCCCATCAGCATCATGCTTCAGCATATTGCTGGTGGTCTGGTGTCCGGTAATGAGACAACAATCTCTGCAGCTGTCTTCTTTTATTAACACCATAATTCACACAAGCTCAGTAGATCTCTCCAAGGCGCTTGGCACTGTCTTTTCTGTGGGTGCGTGTCCTGATTGATCATTTAGGTATGACATGGAAAAGCATGTAGCGCCATGCATGTGACTGTCAGAAAAAAGACAGCGAAAGCAGTTGCCCCCCTCTCCTCTTGTGTCCGCCTGGCTTGACAGCAGGTCATGAAAACACACATCCATCCTGAAGCCACACTCGGGTCGCAGGCGTGACTAAGAGGAAATGGCTTCTTTTGATTTTAGAGCTGCAATTAATCAACGAGGGATGCGCGCGCGCACACACACACACACACACACACACACACACACACACACACTTATACAGGCACACAGGATAAGGAAGAGGCGATGCTGGAAGTAGCAGTTCATGGGGCATTAAAAACATTGGGCCTGGACGTGTTTTTCAATATCAAACTCAATTTGTTTTTTTAATGTGGCAGGATGACTTGCTGCTCGCTGGAGTAGGTTAGCTTGTCTGTTCTGTCATGGGCAAACGGGTATGTCAGGCTCAAATATGTGTGAATTTCCTGGATACTTGTTGTTTTTATTGTGTGTATTTCCTTAAACTGGGGCAACGGTGAGAACAACTTCCTCCACTCTAATTCAGTTTGTGGAAACAGTCTTTCCCCAGATCCTATGAGGGAAAGCATGTTTGCATGAGTATGCTGTCTCAGCAGATTTATCAAAACCGTGTGTCATCTGTGATTTAGGCCGCGGCGGAGAGGTCATGTTGTTAGGTTACACACTGCAGCCGCCTTCCGTGTCTCCCGCTGCCTCTCAGTTTTTATTACCAGCTTAGTTCATAGCTACTTTGCTAACGTGTGCAGGCTTTGATTCTTTTGGAGGGCTTTTACAGGGGACGTAGGGATGCTGTTACTTGCTTAACAGTAGAACAAGTGAATGTTATTACTTTGTAGCTTAAACTTGCCGAGTTCATTAACACTGCTATTCCAAGTGGAGCAAGGATTATGGGAAGTCACAAGGTCTCTATGGAGAAGAGAAAAGGTGTGGTGAGGGAATACACAACAAAATAAATCATTCTTAATCATATGGGGTTTGTTACAAAAGTGGCTATAGGCTACTAAGAAAAGTCATTATTACAACATGGGACATTTTTTCTTGTTCTTTGTGCTCATCTGATCAAAATTTTCTCCCTCTTATTCCTTCTGTTCTCTCCTGTGCCTCATTGCAGGTTCATAAAACCAGCACCCATGTTTCTTGATCAGAACTTCAGACGTCTAGGAAAAGTCAACAGTTACTTACCTCCCTTTGGATTCAGAACGCAAGGTAAGAAAGGTTCATTCCATCACTTACCTGCTACTACTGACATCTTTAATAATTTCTTCATGGATGGTGCCCATAAAAACATAAATACTAGGAAAATGTTTGCTCTGCTCTGTAGATACGCTTGTGTTGTTGCTGACACTGAGTCTGTGTTTTCAGTGCTACTGTTTCTCTGAGGTTTAGATGCTGTATTTGAGCTTGACAGCAGCTGCATGGTACAGTATTTTTATCTCGGCGTAATAAACGGTCTGACGGAATTGGTATCAGGCTTGGATTTGAGTCAATGTTGTCCAGAGGATTATAGTTTTGTTCTGAGTTGACGACATTAAACTCGGGTCTGAATAGGTTATGAAATAAAAGTGCAAATGTCTTACCTAATCGTCAGGCATCAGTTGGCTGCTTATATGACAACTACATGGGGCATCAGTGATGTAACAAGTTATTCTGTAGCCTGATATTCAGAATGGTCCTTTTAAAATTGCTGAAAAAATCAGGGATGTGAGCAGAGGCATGAAACCAACCTTTTTAAGCTCTTTTCTTCATCAAGGTTTCACTCTGATGGTTCAGTGGTAGTGAATGCCAATGTTCTGCCACTTTGCACTTTTCACCATTTGTCATTGTTGCAAGGCTGCTGTTTTTGGCAGAATATACTCTGCCTCAGGTTTGTTACTCTGCCTTTGTCCTGAGTTGAGACAAAGTGAGTTAGGTAATCCATCACATTGTACATTTAGTCACCTTTAGTCTTTGCCAAATTTATGCTATCATGAAATGGTGGTGCAAGCAGGGAATGTTGTCCTGCTATTTTATTTATGGACAGTCCAACATCAGAGAATTGCTAAACAGCACCCTTTTTAATTAAATAAATTACTTAATCTCTATCTCACATCATCTATGGTTAGCTGTTGTTTAACTTATGGATAGGGCTGGATAACTGGTTCCATTTTGAATCTGGTCCTGGTTGGTAAAATACCTAGATCTTTTTTTAAATCGCTGATGCTTAAAAATCGCATATCAAACCTTTTATCTCTCCCCTTTCTTTGCAGAGATTGTTTGAGTGAAAAAGCACCTCACTCTGTAGCACCACTGGATACGAGTGTGTTTCAATTATTTACTTGATCTCCTCACATCAATTTAAGAATCTCCTAGTTAACCTTTGATTTGATATCATATTCACATTTTAATCTGATCAACTAAATGACTCTGGATCAGGACCTTTAGTATTTGGAGTAAGCAGCTGTTCGTTGAATGTGTCAGATATGCTTAATGAACATTTCATATATTCTGCTGCTCATCTCATTTTCAGGTTGCAGGTCCAGGTTGCTAAACAGTGATGCATTTGTGCCACCTTTTGTGCTGTAATTTTAGGCTTTCGTTTCTTGCAAATAAAGGATTCCCTGAGTAATTTGGATTTTATACTAGATTTGAAAATTAACCTATTGAACTCACCCCTGCTTCTGGGTTTTATTTTCAAAAGTCATAGCTCATTTAAGAAATGCTTTTTGAGAGCCATCACTATAACAGTTTTTGAAAACAGTCCCTGTTTGGAGCTGGATATTTCAGAAAGCAGGATTTGCGAGAGTGTAAGATCAAAATAATCCTGTATTTAAATTTTTAAACATGGGGACGTCATTCAAAAACTGGAATTCCTCAAGGCAGAATGTGTTACTGTGGCAAAATGCCATGAAACTAACCTGCTAAATGGTACATTAAATACATTTTTACATGTGGCCAGTTTTCAGCCTCAAACCCTTTTTAACTTCATAACACTCTTATTGGACCCTGCCGATAAGTCAAAACATATTTATATTTCCTAGTAGGGCTGAACAATTAATTGAAAAGTAATCAAAACTAAAATTCAGAGCCTGTAACCGACGTAAATTCCCCATGTCGGTTATTTCGGTTCATTAATCCAGGGCCCTGTTTCATAAAGCAGGCTTAACAAACTCTGAGTTTATCCATGAGCTCTGAGTTGACTACTTCAGGTGAGAAATTCTGATCAGACTTAGTTGGCAACGGATAAATAAAGGCAAAGCCTTCATTTTAATCGGGTGGAGCTAGAAATGTGAATGCATACCAACGCGGACCATGATTGGCTCTAAAACGCAGGAGTGGAGGAAGGATCAATACTTTTAACATTGGTACTTTTTTTTATATTGCGTTGCTCATTCATCATTTACCAGATTGGAATTTCCTTAATGAATGATAAAGTGCTGGAATTCTCCTGCAGTCCATTACATTTGATTTTAAATAGGAAGGCTATATTTATTAAGGTGTAATCGGCTACCTGATTATGAAAGTAGGTAGGCTATAGATCAAATAAAAGACGCAGTTTACTCATGAACCTGTGATTGTAAAGTCACACCCAGTAGGTTAGCCTATTCATTTTTTATTTTTTGCTATGGAAAATGTGTCTATGGGTTCAAACTGACTAAAGTTTTAGACGTCTATTTTACATTAATAAAACCTTGCTAATTTCGTATTTTATTAATGCTGTCAAAACACGTTCAGAATGTATGCAGCTAATAATGAAAAACTCTTGAAACTTAGTTTCAGCTGCTACAGTCATTCTGACTCAGAAGTGTTCATTGATCAGTTTTCTAGGTTACAGATTAGTTTAAACAGCGATTACTTCAGTAATGTAGCCCACAGTGTTTTCAGTGCAACTATCACAGTGTTATAGGTAAAGATGGACACAGATTTTAATTCACGATGTGCGGAGATCTGTCCATGGGCCCTACATCGATGACAGATGTATCATAAAAGCGGTCACGTTCAGGGCTTGGATGAAAAACTAATAGCCTATCCAACTGGGATGTTAAAGTTTTTAAAGATGTAAATGCGTTCAGATATGTGCTTTGATATCGACAGTATGTAAGGGGAAATTAAACGTTGTGCCAGACAGCCGCCTCAGGCTCCGCAGGAGGGGAGTTAAAGAGAAACTGACGGTTCTCCAACTTATCCTGTGAACCTAGCCTCCTCGGTTGCCGGAGTTACAGATATAGGGTTTATATGATCTCGCTCTCTGAAACAGAAAACCCATAGTTTCCCTCATCTCAGGCTTAACATACTCTGAAACGGCCCCTGGTAATTAGGGCCCGAGTGCGAAACGTGCAAGGTCCCTATTGAAACTGAAGGGGGTTTGTTTTTGTTTTTAGGGATACAAGCATCACAGCTGCTGTCGTTGTCGTAACCCATTGACAATTAAAGGTTGTGCAAACAGTTATTACCAGTCGACCAATTTGCCCGTGCTGTTGAAAAACGATTATTCGCCATGAAACATAGTAGTTATAATTTCAGTACACATGCTCACATCTGCACCAGTTTTTACATGTACAATAAGACACCACGATGGTGGAACGAGCTACCACACACTATCAGAGCAGGGGCGTCCCTCTCTAACTTCAAGAAACTCTTGAAAACTCATCTCTTCTGAGAACACTTCCTCTTATAACACCTCTAACTCCTAATCTCTAACATGCACTTCCTGCGCTCTTCTTCTTCTATCCCCTACAATTATCTTGTATTGATTGCACTTTTTGTTAACTCTTACTTCCTTCCCTAGGTATTTACCCCACTGATGTCATATGAACTATGAGCTGTTACTAGTATTTATTGCTGCTCTTACTAGTATGTATTGTCAGTTGTAGATCTGTATTTGATGCTCTGTTGATGCTTGTATGTTGTTCCTCAAATGTAAGTCGCTTTGGATAAAAGCGTCTGCTAAATGAGTAAATGTAAATAAGAGTCTCACCCTGAATACATCCATATTCCAATAGGTGTCGTTTGAGATGACGGCGGCTGACTTTTGCCGACTTGATAGTCTAACGTGAGCTGCAGGTGACTGCAAGGGCGGGGTATAAAAACGGCGCTGTCAAGTCGGACACATTCTACCTGCATCAGCTTACTGTAAACTGAGATCAATAACTGATCTCGCGGCATTTGCTTAGAAAAATACCGCGATACCAGGCAATAGTGTGGTTCCAACCTAGTGCAGTTGGGGAAAAGCAACTGCGGCCGCTGGACTTGGCGCCTGCAGCCGCCTTGCTCACACAAGGTTTTAATGTCATGTGACACGGTGTCGTTTTGCAGCGCCGGCGAAAGTCGGACACAATTTCTAACCAGCATGGCTTGTTTTAAGTCCAGCATGCATCACTGCAGCGCAGCGCAGCATTAAAGTCTCAAAGTCATAGCGCCACCTTCTGGCAACAGGAAATGACACGTTTTACGTTGTAATGTACTACTCCTAGCAGGTTGGACATATCAACTTCAAAACTGTCCCAGAAAACCCTTAACAAATTGATGAAGCGATGTTGTAAAACGTCTGAGTTTGCAGTTAACGGCGGGCGGTGGCGTGGCGGCGAAGTTCCACGCTTCGCCATGACACAGGAAGTTGTTGTAACTTGACTGTACATGCTCAGATCTGTACAAAATTTTACAGGTTTGACAAGAGTCCCGGCCTGCACCAAACTTTACGTGCTTGATAACACAGTTACGCCCCGAACACATCTCCGCCCTGTCCAGTCCGGTTCAACCTTCAGACCGAAGTCTGAAGCACGGGGAGGCTAGCGCTAACCGGCTGCACTTTCCAGCAGTTGTAGAAACAACATACCTACTTTTAATAACGGACACACTGTGACCTGCACTGCCAGACTGACAACATATTACTTGCTCGCTTTCAGCGTCACTTTCTGCCGCTCTCTCTCATTCGCTCGTCCACTCACTCGCTACGCAAACACATTGCACTGCAGTTAAAATACCTAAATCCACTGCTCTTATAACAGCACCTGTCACGTAGCTGTGCTTTGATAAATAAAGAGAGGAAGCTAGCAAAGCGTGATTTACCGTGCTCACACAGTGTGCGGGTGAAAATCATTTGTTCCGCATTTATATTAAATAACTGAGTGAAAGTAGCAGCGGTCATAATTCCACAGCGGTGATGCGCCGAATATATGGGAACCATGTCTGTAATGTGCACGTCAACATTACCTTATTAATCAACATTTATATAATGGATTTGTGAAACTGTGAATAAAAAACCCCCCAGCTTTAATAGTTGAGCATATTTACAGTACAAATCTTGTCAGTGAAATATGAGGGCAAAAAAAACAAAATAATAGTAATGGAGGAGAAATTTTAATCGTGATTATGATTTTAGGTGAAATCATCCAGCCCTATTTCCTGGTCATGTATTTACAGTCTATTCATTGTAAGCTGTCATAATAACCTCATCAGTGAAGTTCATTTGTTTGCTAGATGAGTTCTATCTTGGGACTGAGGAACTCAAGTCTCCCAACCCTCCGACTTGAATGCCTTCACACACAGTGCTTGTCCTTGTTCCCTGACCTCAACACACACCAACTCTTCAGACATCAAACCAGTAAATGGTTCCATGGGAAGTGAAGAGATAACATTAACCTGGCTTCAGTGACATGCTCATATCACATCACATATTTTCCAATACTTACAAGCAGAAGGTACAGTGAATGTTACCTTTGTGCTCCTACAAGATCTCTGCTGTCATATGAAAACACACACACACACACACACACACACACACACACACACACACACACACACACACACACACACACACACACACACACACACACACAGTCGCTTTCAAAAGAGCACTCCCTGTGTGAGTGTCACACCTGGTTTCTGTTTTCTCCACGGACTGTGATGCAGTGGGGTTTCCCTTTTTAATGGTACTCATGTGGAGAGATGATACGTGTGGATCTTGAATAGAAGGCCACAAAGGATTCCAAATTAGGAACACAGAGAGGTGGTGGTGGGCGGGAGTTGTATTTTTACTTTTTATTCTGGCAAGAGGTATCTTTGGCACACATCAACCATAGCTTGAGAACAGTAAAGCTGTGTTGATTCGGCCTCAGACACAAAACATATTTTTCAGCACTGCAGGATGCCAGTCAGCCACTGAATGGTCAATTTAAATAATAGGCTATGTTTTGCATTTATTGTTGGATATTCTCACAGTAAATGAAATTTTATTTTCTGGAAATTATATCTTTCTGCAGTCCAAATTGAATAAGTAAAGCTTTTTTAAATGATATTCATCAAGCCAGAGGCTTATACAGTTAAAGAGGTATTTTTCAAAAGGTAGCTATGACAAATCTGGAGAAAATCAACACTTCTTAAAAATGTTTTGTATGAAAGCGTTTCAATGTTTAATTCCTTCAATAGTGTTGAGTTTATATCAGCCTTCTGTTTTTTTTTGTTACAGTAAGGTTGAATATACATGAGCTACAGTAATTTGTTAATAAACTGAACTGTTTATAAAGTGTGTGTGAATTTTGCAATATAAGGTGCGAAGGAAAACTCCTCAGAACTGAAACAATAAGTTGATTAATTGGTTATTCAATCATAATAAATAAGATAATGAATCGTTTCAATCGTTTTACAGGCAACACCACTGACATTTGTCAGACTTTGCCTTACTTCACTGTAAACTGAATGTCTTTGGATTTTGGGGTGTTGGTCAAGCAAAACAAGTCATTTGAAGACGTCACCTTGGACTTGGCATTTTTTCACTATTGTTTGAGATTTTATGTTGATCATGATTCATCAAAAAAAGAAATTCAAATAAACCGTTAGTTGTAGCCTTACAATGCTTCATGTGTTTTATTTGGGAACCCTGTTGGGCAGGAAGACCCAGTGCATTAAAGAGACGACTTTAGAGTGGACTTGTTTCAGCTGCTGTGTTAAATATCTTCAAGCTTCTTATAATTTGTCTTTAGCTCCTGTGATAATAGGAGAAGCAGTCGTTTGTTATATTTGGAAGATGTGCAGAACATCATCAAATTTAGTGTACTCAAGACAGTCGTTTAAGTATCTCTGTAAAATAATGTTGACTTTTTAAATAACCAGTACACATCACAGTACTGCCCTGAATGGCACAGTGCTTTCAAAATTAACCCTTAAAGGTACTGACTAAAAGGATTTAGCAAACTGAAAGAGGCCTTCATATGATATTTCCTACTATCAGTTGTTTACATATATTTACTGAAATCATATCTTAATTTAGAGTGGTGATTAGGCTAATGTGTTATTAAGTGTGGTTATGTTAATGCAGTTATGATCCCAATCAGAGTGTGATGTTTACACTAGCTCTGCCTTAGTCACATGGTCACACTCTTGATGTTCGAGGTAATTCACTGCTTTGTCTTCTTTGTAACATGAGACAAGAACAGGTGCACAAGTGTATGAGTACATTCTTCACTAGCAAGGACCACACAATCAGCAGGTACAATTAAGTGATTTATTGATGATCGAAACGACAAAGATGTATGAGGCGTGTAGTTGCTGAATAGACATTCGAAGAGTTGTGGGGAAACTACGATAGGGAAATCCGCCGTAGCACCCGGGCATAGAGAGGAAGAAGGAGATCAGGAGGCGGGGAGGAGGAGTTGGGACATATGGGTATTTATGGCAATGCTGGTGAGAATGTGGTTGATGTGTGGTCCTGCTCATGAAACTGCTAGTTAGCACCACATAAGCACAATACACAGAACACAGCAAAACCTTTTTTTTTTTTTTTAAGGATTGAACTTCCTGAATTGTGAAGCAAATGAATGAAGTTGTTTCCATAAAGATTGATAAATTCTATCACTGTGCCATAGGGTTTTCACTGTGGATATATCTGTGTGTACATTATGAGCCAGAAAGACGTAGCAGCCAAAGATTTGAACACCTCTCAGTCTACAACATGGAAATAAATATGGTACCGCTTTGGGCCATAAAGCTATTTCTCAGGATTGTTCACTCAATATACTTGATAAATTAGTCATCACACTGCAATCAAATACTCATTTTGTCTTTTTTACAATGGCAGTTGATGTTGAGTCAAAAGCCTACTAATGTGCAGGCCTAATAAACAGCACTCTCTCGTCACATGATGCTCTATATTGTTTAGGCTACACTCTTCCCAACAATGTGTCTGTTTATGTGTTATGTGATTCTTCCGCCATTCCCCTATGTTACCAGCAAAGATTTTTGTCATTTCAAGAGTTCCATGTTGGACCACTGTCTGAACCTACAGCCATTCGTCTTTGGCCGTCTTTGGCTCTACCATAAGACATACTTTGCTGAAGTGTTTACCCCGGGTACTTATAACAATTAGCTTCCATGTCGTCCTCTGGAAGAGAGTCCTGCCCATTGTGATTTTTCACTTTTCACCCGCTTGGATCCAGGTGTGGTCCTTGGCCATGTGTTTATGCTGCTCGGGGTGATGCTTGACGCCAGACATCGACACCACATCCAAACAATGGGCCGTTGCTCTGCTCGCCTCTCCTCAGCAGGTTAATCATTAGGATCGTTAGCCAGGGTGAATGGGGCTGTAATATGTCTTACAAACTGCTTTGAGGCCCCAGTCTAAACTCTCTTGTTCTCACTCTCACTTTACTCTCACTTTTGTTGTTTCTCTTGCTCCCTCCCTTGGCAAACTATGTGCTATATGATGATTATATTAAGTGAAGTAGAAGGGGCAATGAAAATGTCTCTCATTTTTAGCAATGTGACTTTTTTCCCCCCAGGCAGGATGCAAATAAGGGAAAGCTGATTAACTGCCATCATAATAGTTAAGTCCAAGAAGTCCTTCTATGGTGCTTCCACATTACTACAAATGTGAATCAAAGATAGCAACAACTGTTATGAAATCTGCACATTTGGGATGTTATGACGGGTGTATTACAAGTATGAGAGGCCTAAAAATGGTCAGGAGAAGAGAGAAATATATGTAACATCTAAGGCCTGGAAGACTGACTCCAGCAGAATGCCCCGTAGAACATGGTAGGAATGTGCGCTATGGCTAAACATCCCAGTTTCTCACCCTGCGATCGGAGGGGTGCTAGCCACGCAGGGAGATGAGCCTACTTAACTAGGAGAATGTGCTTGTTTGAAAACAGCATTCCTCTCTGAGTGCTTTTATGGGAGAGTTTCTACATACACACGCATACCATCCTGAACCCTGTATGTCTGTATCTCCCAGATCCACTCCTTTCAGGAACACAACAGCTTTTTTCCCTCCATAATCCCATCGCCACTATTTCTGGGGGCTGATTGGTCACTCCTTATCTGTGACTGAGTAAACAGAGAGAGGTGTTCTCTCCTCCGACTGTCTTAAGACCACCTAGACTGCTTTATCTCTAGTGTATGTATGTTGAAGTCCTTGGCAGCTTGTTAATCTTTTCAAGAGGGAACACCCTCCGTTATGACTTATAAATATTTCATTTTCATTATTAGAGAACATCCCTTCATCTGTGATGTTAAGCTGATGCACTGCTCCATAAGGGGTGAACGCTTAAAGTTACTGACCTGACGATGGTACTGCATTTTCCACTGTCACATTATGAGATACCGTATGTATGTAGCGAATTTTAAACTAATTGCCTACTGCAATTTTCAAACTGCAGGAGGCGCAGTATTTGATAAAGGTGATGCGTGTGTCAAAATACCATTTTAAATTAAATATTGTGTATTGAGTCCTGTCCTACACATCATATTCTAGAGACTTACAAAAACATCTTGTTTTGGTACAAATCCCCGCAAAAATCACACCATAATACATTAATATGTTTTTCAATGAAAATGAGAATAATGATGAAATGATTATCATTCCCTCTAGTATCGCAAATCATATTTTAATATCAGTCAAAATAATCGCAATTTCAAAATCATTCAGCCTTATCATGTTGTGTACTGCAGTGTAATGTATCTTTAATTGTGCTCTCATGGTTATTTTGTTTTTCCTCCGCAGAAAGAATCATAGACAGTATTTTAACTGCCACAAAATATTATGGACTTGGAAAGGAGCTGGACAGGTAATTATTGCTACTCACCAACATCAAAAGGAAGTCCTGTTTCCTTCCATTAGTTGTTAATTTTACCAACTGCTGAAACTCCTGCCCTGTAGTCTCAGGTGTAAAAGATGCATCATTGTGGGCAACGGGGGCATCCTCTCCAACAAGTCTCTGGGCTCCCGTATAGATGACTATGATGTTATAGTAAGGTAAGATGACGCCATTAAAAAATAAAACACTGAATATAAATGTCAGATTTTTGTCACTCAAAACAACAGTGTTGTGTAAAAGATATAATAATTTAATGTAAAAGGCAATACAGTACAAACAGGATGGAACATTCAAATTCCATTTTGTGCTGGCAGGTTGAATGAGGCCCCAATAACTGGTTATGTCAAAGACGTCGGGACCAAAACCACCATGAGGATAACCTACCCAGAGGGAGCTTTCCAGAAGGCTGAACTTTATGAAAAAAACTCACTGTTTGTTTTTTCTGCTTTCAAACCTCTGGATTTCAAGTGGCTCAGACAGATGGTCTTCAAGGAGAATCTGGTAAGGATACATAAATATATATTTTTTTGAAATCATTAAGGAATGAGAATGAAATTCTTGCACATATTAAACACGCACGCAACCCTGAAAGAACTAGCAATGGTGACTCACAGCTAACAGATTTCCTGACAAATCTAAAACCGTTTAAGTGGGTGTTCAAATAAAATTCAAAATGAGAAACACGTTTTTTGATTTATAAAAACAAAAAAATGGCCACATTTTTTTCCAAATACTGAAAAGAGCAATTGTATTCAGCATGTGTTTCATCAGGCTCACTTCCTCTTCCTGCACCCACTGAATTATACTGCAGAGAATATTTACCTATCTGAGTGTCTAAATGTGTCTGAATATCTGAGTTATGTGTTTTTGTAGCAGAACATAGCCGTCTAACCTCTGATCACATTCTGTACATTCCTTCATGTGGAAGTGTAAGCCGTTTTCATAAACGGGTTAAGAGGACAAAATTAATCTCTATTATATAATGGGGATGTTTTAGATAGTTTGAATGTTTATTTTCGAAAGGACAGTTGGAAAAAAACAATAACTACACACTATTTTTTTCCTCTTTGTCTGGTAGTGAATTTTCTTCATGCTACGTTTCCACTTACTCATGAATCATGTTGCTTCCCTCTTTAACTGTTTTCTCACACGTTAGGATGGTGCCGTACTAATAAATTGGAATTGACCTTATAACAGATCTTTTGGGTGTCCTTCGGAAGCGTATGATTGCCATGGTTAAAACACAGGCTATGAATTGGCTTCTGAATCACAAGGGTCAGACTGAATGCTGGAACTGGCTTTTCCTTATCTAAGTATTACAGAAGGCAGTCATTTTGTATGGCTCTTATGTCCTTTTTATATCCATTGTCACTAAAAAAGCTTTCATAAGCACTTTCATTTTGTTCTTGTTGAACAGTCTGTAGTATCTCTTTGAGATTCCCCATTGTCCATTCAACTCCTGGACAGTGGGAGTACTTAGTAAAAGCTTTTCATTGAGTCAATAAAATAAAGCTTGTCGCAATTTACCATACCAGTGTTTTTATGTGTTTTAGCCAATTTACATAAAATCTTTCCTACTTTTCCTACAGATTTCTAAAAACTATTTTCTTTTCATTTTATTTTATATAGCACTTTAAGATTACTACATTTAAATTATACATACGTTTCACAGATTAAACTTTAACGCAGTGTATTGTAAAATAACACTAGAAGGTCGGACATTGCAAATTTAGTTAATTATATGAAATATACTGTACATAAGTTTTAAACAAAAGCATTCACCACAGCATCATTAAAGGCATAGGTTGTACACAGGCCGAATGGCTAAACCTTTTCTTTTTAAATATCATTCTTTGTGAGGGATGCTTCTGTCCAATGTGGCGACCCAGCACTGGGGAAACCTGTTTTATTTCCCAGCACAGCTGTGAGATTTTGAGGGAGCAGCTGCCAGCTGGATGTTTTACAAGGTGACATTTGTCAGAATAGCACAGTCATGAGTGAGGGAATGGGGGAAAAAAATAACGAGAAAAGCGCTGTTATAATAGGGGATGGAAAAGGCATACGTTGGCAAGCTAAAACTGAGCAATGGTGTGAAGTTGGATTAAAGGATAAAGTGAAATAGGTTAAAGGGATAATAGCTGGGGAAAAGAAAATGAGCAGTGGAAGGTAACAGCAAAGTAAAAAGGAGGAAAATAGCTTGCCTGGCTGGCTGCTGGCCCCTTTAGCCTTTGATAGGGCCCAGATTTTTCTGGTGTGTCAGAAGGAGAGGACAGTGGAAATGGCTGCCTGGGATAATTGATCTGGCCCCTGGCATCCGACTCAGCCCTCTTTGATCTGCCAAGGAAGGAAGAATGTTTCTCATGGGTTAAAAATCAGGGAACAAAAAAAAATCTCTTTGGTCTGAGCCTTAATGATAATATGGAAGAAGTGACCTGACAGATGTGTAGACTCATATTTGACCTATGGATTGTCTCTTTAATGCATCTGCAGTGTATCTATGCACATGTTTCCTGTGCAGTTACTGAAATTAATAATCGCACAACCAGCAAAATCGTATACATACATATAATACCTACATACGTACATATAATATCGCACATATTTTGCACAAAAAACAGTAATAAATTGGATTAAATTTCAAAAGACTCCAAACCATTTTTAGTCTGAGTGGCAGTGTTGGTCAGTTAAAAAAAGCATTTATGTGCCAATTTAAATGCTTGTTATTATTCACAGCTTGCCCTCTGCTGTTATTTTACTGAATTCCTGCTGAATAAAAATGATCCGTTCAGTAGAATACAAAAAGATACAATCAAAATCATTTGTTGTCTCATGAAATATAGTGTGTTAGCACCTAACAAGCTACATAAGCCGCAAAGCAGTGACAAAGGCTGAAACAATGACCTTTTTAAAAATAAAAAATAAAAAAAAATAACACATGGGGCAACAGTATTTGTTTACTATGGAAAGTGGACTTAAGTCTTAAGTCAACATGAAAGAAACTGAAGTCCTGTTAAAAGACTGTTATCCTAGCTTCATTGTATCTGACTCACACCCAGCGTAGACTAATGCAGTGGAAACATAAACACTGAGAGGTGTTTATGTGTGTATGTACATGTGCCTTCTGTGAAAACACATTTCTAAACACAGTGACTCATAAATGTTCTCTTTTCTTTTCTACTCCACTTATTACCACACAACAGGTATCTAAACAATAGAAAACAACTCTCAAGAGACATTTAGTTTAGATAGTGATGCTGGGTATTTTTGTGGTATGTGTATACAGACACATACCACATGATTTGATCATTTATATCCACATACTTGTGTTCAGGAGAGAAGTCAGTAAGATTACAAATTTGTGTAATGCTGATAATTATAGATCTTTTCAACTATGGTAGAATGTGCAAGACAGGCCACCAACCCCAGTCAAGTAAAGTTGATTAAGACTGCCTAAATTGTTAACGTCCAGTTTCTGTCCCTCCAAATGACAATCGTACTTGGCTAAAACTACAAAAAAATTGCTTTGAACAATACCATAAAGCCACCCTTCTGTTAAAGGCGAATGATAAAAGTGGCACTTAAACCAATCTGAACAGGGCTGTGGGGGACAAAACTTTGAACAAAAAAGGTTCGAAAAAACTGCTTTAGGATATGCAGCAAGAAATCCTCACCAAGTTGCAGCAAGTATCCCTCCTTTTGCTGTGTCCATTTAGTCCATCCCAGAGGGAGCCGTAATGTGACTTAGAACAAGGAGCTTTTACGTCTGTTGGTGCAGCAGGGAGATTTCTTTGTGTAACCTGCACACTCACAGCTGGAAGGGATGCAAAACCTTTTCACTCTCCTTCTGCGGTAATGAAAGCGAGTGTATTTCTTCTTCTTTGAAATGTTAGTGGGTGGTACACAGCAGCCGCAAGTGACTCATCCAGCCGGTTTTCAGCGTGCTCGACTATCCTACACTATTGTGGCTTTTCAAATGCCTACAGCGCTGTCTTGGATGGCTTGGAACAGAATACATATTAGTGAGGCAATTTCCCAATCTGTTATTTAGTGTTTTGTACACTCTTACAAACACACACTCATAAACTCCCACTCAGTCACACACACACAGACTCCTAAACTTTAGGGCAAAAATCAGACCAAGTCCAGATTTGCAAACTGGACCTTAGGTCCTGATCAGAGCCTAGGCTTGCAGACACTAGATCAGGAAAGCCCTTTACTACATATACAATTACATCGCCGCAGCATCACAACCCTCCCTACTTCCCTAATCCCTCATTACCGCGGGTCTGTGTGATTATGACTCTGTCACTCTGCTATAAAGTCTGACCCCCCACATACACAACAGCCTGGTTGATTGCACAGTTACACGCTGTTTACAAATGTGCTCAAACATGATTTCCACAACTCCGGATATAATCTTTTTTCTTTCCCCTCATATGTCTAGTTTTTGATTTTGCTCTCATGCACGGCGCACACTGACGGTTCGTGCACACACAGAGCCGCAGTTGTTTGTATATGCAGGGATATTTTCAAACAGATCCAGTGAAGGATATACAGCCGGTGGTAAACACAGGGTTCGAAGGTGGAGTGTCGGTGTTCTATCTCTCCTGTTTGTTTACAGGAGCTCTTCTTGCTCTCTACATGCCAGAGAGATAAATGATGGATGGAGACAATTTGAGGAAGAGAGCACTTCTCCTTTAATAGAAATGCAGCCAGGCGCTCTTAATCAGAGGTATCAAAATATTGTGGTGATTATAGTATTTTAATAACATTGCACATCTCTGAGGCAATGCCAGAAAGCTTCAGTTCATCGACAAATTTCAAAATGAACTCCTTCAGATTAATTCTTTATTGTTCTATATATGGACGAATTTTGTTTTCACATTATATACACAGTCTTCCTAGAATATTGTTATGAAGCATTTCCTATTGTTAATCTCTGGGTAACGGCCTGTGTTTTTCAGTTTGTCATTTTAACCTGAAACCTTTATTGTAACTCTGTCACTGAGGACTCACTGTGGGACGGTAATAGTGGCTATATGGCAGTTTTTTTTAAAGCCCAAACATCTGTGCAGAAGCCCAAAGTAGCATGCATACATGCATTCATAAACATTTACATACTTGTAAACAAGTGACTAACATAGGTTCCGGATGTCACTGATTACCATGAGGGTTGTGTTTCAAAAATGAGTCACCTACCTAGCCTGTGATGATTAACACTCAGACCTGTACTCTGGGTTCCTTTACTGTTGAGTTCAGATGCAATGGATGTTTGGTAAGTAAGTACTTATGCAAGTTTAAGAAGATCTTTGACATGTCATAATAGGCATCCAGAATTTAGTCAGATACCAGCAGGTTCCTGCCAGTGGGCCAAATCAGCAATCTGTTTCTACCCAGAGACCATGTTCCACATACAGGTCTTTAGGGTCACAGTGCTGTCATGTGCTGGCACTGTTTTCATGTTTGCCGTCATGGGAGTGTGCAGATGAGGGTTTCACACAGTGGATAACCTAAGAGAGGCCAGAAAAAGAAAAAACACTGAGACTTCAATGAGGGCAGAGGTCTTGGTATGTGTCAAGAAAAGCAAAAGCAAGTTGACGAATGCTTCAGATTCCTGGCTAACAAAAGGGAATAAAATTACCAAAGCTCTCCAGAATTTTACCTCTCTGGATTTCAGAAACAGTAATCCCCTGCTGTGCACCTCATCATTTACCAACTACTTTGGAAAAACTCAGTGGAACACTTATGTGGTGAGACACTGCAACTTGTAAACTCTAAGGTCCGACATGTACACAGTGCTAATGACCTCCAGACAGCCTTAATTGTGATTGTTAGCAGTTCAGAGCCGCCGTTTTTGTTTCTAAATTGCTCTAAGTCTACCTTCCGGAATTCAGTCCACCGCGTTTGAGTTGTCCTCTCCATAATCGTCAAACACAACCACATCCTCAGACCGAAGAACCCAGATAGAGCCAAGTTGTGTGATAGCTGCTTATCAAGGAAGGAAAGGACATCTGTCTCATTCCAACCATATTATGAGATTATTCTGGAGAATACACAAGAATAGGTCAAAACTTTGAAATTAGACACGCAATGTATCTGGTGACATGATGGTCTGGCTTTCCTACCTGTGGCCGACAGAAAGCTGAGGTTTGTTTGTGTTTGTTTACATTAAAGGGCTTTAAAGCCATCTTTATTAACCCAGCAGATGTGAAACTCTTTGCTTTTCCCTCATATTACAGTTCTGTTCAGTGCTCCACATTTGCGCTCCCTCTGGAACTATAAACTAAGCCATCTGCTTCATTCACTACAGAGAAAAATTTAAGTTTAAAGGTGAGTTAAGTTTCATTGGCAACGCTGAAACCAAACCACAGTGAAAACCGTAAATGCAGGCTCTAAACCAAGCTGTTTCTTATTTGGGCATTTTACATTTGTGCAACTGAGGTGTATTTTTTTCAGATTTATGCGATAAGGATGCAGGTCATCATGTTTATGCCCAGCCTAATTTAAGTCTTCACCGCCACTAACCAATATATAATATAACCTTACTGATATTTTAGTAGTTTTGTACAGGAAATTTTCTGCGCCTAAAGTGCAGATACGTGAGGGAGATCTAAGGAAGTTATTTTTGCATTTTCAGATGCTGTACATTTTCCATTTTAGCACTCATTTTTATCATTGTTCTTAACCCCATGTATCTCTGTCCTCATGGCTTTTTCCATCTGTTTGATCCCACACTGGTCTTGCTTTACAATCGTTCTTCTCCTTACCCTCTGACATTGTCTCACTTTAATCCTGTGCTTTAAGCTCCTTTTGTTGATGGCTTGTATAGCTCTGACTTTCCTACAGCTGTGAAATTACAAGACAAATACACTTAGCTTTTACAAAGCTTCTGTTGCAATTAACAACACTGACATAGAAACTGAGTGCTTTCATGGAATTAGTCTAGTCTCAGGGATACATTACCGGCACCTCCTTTTGTGTCAATAACACTTGAATTGAAATTTTACACTCTTCTCTACATGTACAGTAAATATGTTGTACAAAAATACTTCTTCAGTATTCCCTCTTTCAGACTCACCAATGTTTTAGCACGTTATTTACATGTGCAAGTTGTTGCTTTGTTTGGAAAACCATGTTTACTTCAGTTAGTTCTTCTACTGCTAATTGTAGCAGGTGACCACTGGCCCCTCAGATATGAAGCAGCTTTACTGCAGATTATACAAATTTGGCTTTCGTTACACTTTTAAAGCCCCTCAGTGTTTACCAACCAGTTTTAACCTCAGCTTCTCTGAGGCGCAGTTGTTTTAAGCCTGTAAGCTTAAGGTTATGTGCTTTGATGCAGCAGTGGTGCTGAACATTTTGGAATCTTCTCCAGTGTAGATAGCTCTTCAACCCCCCTTGGTACAGCATAATCACTATTGAAGATGACTTGGCTGGAAGACTCTAAAAAGTACCAATTCCCAACTTGGTGCAAATAAAGAATCATCACCTGCAGATAGAATCATGATGATGCCAGTAGAATGTATAAAGTGCAAGAATATGTTGACCATAAGAATGGATAAAGTTGAGCTCTCTACAGACGATCTTGCATTGCAAGCAATTAACTCATGGTTCATGGTTGTTTTAACAGGTGCTTTATTGGAGTACACAGCCCTGTGCGCACACTTAAATCTAATAATGCTGACCAATTTAACTATAAAGCTGTCGCAGAGGGGAAGCAGCCATTTCCTCTCTGACCACAGCCCAGTGACAGCCCAAACACTAAAGCTACACACTTCTGTTCACCTTAGAGCATGTGTGTCAGGTCTTGGTTGAGTACTAAACGTAGGACCACAGTGCAGCTTCCTGCTCTGTCTATGGTCAAATGCCACTGGCTCAGCTGTGTTTCTCTTAACACACTAGTACACATTCACATAGATGTTTGAGTACTTCTTCTGCAGTGTAGTTATTTAACAGTCCTAAATGCATTTTCACAACTATCGCTCATGATGTACACGTTTTGCTTGGTGAAATCATATTGAAACTTACCTTGTATAGCCATTGCATGTTTTAATATTCATTCCCTGTAGCAACCCACAGAGTCTTCATTGCTGTCACTTTACATCCCCTTCGGAGTAGTTTTAGAGCTAAACGAGGGTGGAGTGTTATTAACTTTCACCTCTTCTGTCCATCTTAACTGGTGAAGGTTTGAGGAGTTGACCTTTTAACGTAAGCAACTTACCACATTCCCAAAATCATAACAGCCCCCACAACCCCCTCCCCCCTGACAGTCCTGAATGCTTACATACTAATTGCTTTTACATTTCTCAAAGCCACCTGTACTTGTTTGAATATCTTCAAAGGGATCCCCACCCTATGAAATTTGTGTCTTATGTACTTGTCGGGTCATTGCTGTGTAAAGCAAGGGGTGTGCGTTGTATGTGTCATTAGCTTCTCTCCTTCCTAGAAATAAAGAAAAAACTGCATCGCTCTCTTTATTCAGCGTACACAGACACACACACATCCAAACAGCCCCGCTAAATAGATTCCTGGCAAACACAAGCTGTGTTGACAGGAGAGATGAGCTGCTGTTCCTGTTGCAGCTTGCCGACGGCACAGAGCCGGGCTCACGTTCAAAAAGAGCCGCCACTGTTCAAGCCACAAAGCCAGCGGATTTGTTGCTACTGCCTCTGCCAACACACACACACACACACAGTCATGCATTGCTTGTATCAAAGGCGGCCGGGGCGGGGGCTTGACTATTTGAACAGGTGATTTCAATTTACATCTGCTGACTGCTGGCTTCATGCCTATTAGGAAGTCACACTGTCAGGCAAGTCAATCACACACTGCTAGTTTGTTGCACGTTCGTTTGGTTTATCATTTGAAGTAATGCTGTAAAGAGGACTGATTGGTCAACAGATGTTGTTAAATCAAAATTAGGTAGTCATTTGTTTGATGCAGAAACTCTTTCGTTTCCAGTGGTACCTAATATTCAGCGGCTATTCTGTTGGTATGAATGAGTTGAGCAAGTGCATTACATTACATAATATTATTCAGGAGGTTCTAGCGGCTGATGATGATGTGTCAAAAACACGGAGGTCTCGCAGAACATCCTCAGGTCAGTGTGTGAAATGAACCATTTCCTTTGAAATGCCAGATATAACTTTGGATGCTGGACAAGGGAGACTATTATGGGGTTTGTGATTCCCTAACGGCACAATAGCAGCAGATTTTAACGTTTTTTTTTTGTTGTTGTTTTTTTTAAATATGCAGTAAAACAGTAAAATTAAGTTTTTCTGCATGAGAAATACTACACTGAAAAACTTAATGTGTGTTAAGGTGCATTGGAATAAAACGACTATAAAGCTGTCCACGGCAGCTGCACCCCCCACTCACTGCCTGAGTCTTCTACCAGGGGCTGTAATTACTGATGTCCCGCGAGCCCCTCGCCCTGACTTCATCCATTAAAGGCAGAAAAGGCATTTCCCTAATCAGTGCTAGTAGGGATCTGGCTTTTGGTTGGCTTCTGTGTTTTATGTCAGCGTTACAGAGGATAATCTCACTTTGATGTTGGGATGGTAAATTACAGGTGGCTGTTCACTCTGTGGTGTTTTCATGTGAACAGTCCAGTTTTCATTACAATTCACTATTACTAATCTTCTGTTTTTCCTCCCTTGTTCTTGTCTGCGTTCCTGTCTTATTTTCTTGCCATTACCTTAGAGGGGCACACAGGGTTTTTGGAAGCCGGTGGCTCGCAAATTGCCTCGCGAGCCAAAAGAAATAAGAATCCTCAATCCCTTCTTTATCCAGGAGGCTGCCTTCCAGTTCATAGGCCTGCCGTTAAACCATGGCCTAATGGGCAAAGGGGTAAGCAACAAGCAGGCACACACTTCACAAACATCATGATTTTTTTTTTTGCCAATATTATGTAAATTTGCCTGGAATTTGCACATTTTCATGGAAATATGGATTCAGGAACACTATCATTATAAAACAGGACAAACTTTAATAACCATATCAGTACCACTACACTGAAGCCAACAGTATTGTGCCCTGCATTGTGCAATTGGATTTTTACAAAGTTGATTGAAGAAAAATTCAAATGTTACGTAACCTGCTGTCTTTGGAGTCATTTAAGGCCTTTTGCTTTTCTCATTGTTGAAATTGCAATAATTTTAAAAAATACCTGCTGCAACCCTGATCCAGTCTGAATTCTTCAGCACTGTCTTGTTTTTATTCAACATAGACGTATGATGTATGCACTCCGCTCAAGAATCATGTTTGCCTGGACATCTGCTGTATCAGGTTTGAACATTTTGTGGGAGAAAAAAGTAAACAAAGTTAGTTGGTGACCACCTGCTAGAGAACAGAGCAGAAAGATATAAGTAATGATCATGGAGCATTTGAAATCAAATACTATTGTGAATGTGTACCTGGTTGAGGGGAAGAAGTTACAATTGGAGAGGACATGAGGGTGTATCACCCCAACTCTGCCCTCTGGGGCCACCAGAACACCCCTGCATGAACTCCGCTCTGCAACATGTGTTCAACATGTGGGCTTCTGGCGTGTGTGTGTGTGTGTGTGTGTGTGTGTGTGTGTGTGTGTGTGTGCGCGCGCTGGTCATTTGTCTGGCTGTCTCATACAATACGGGCTGCAGAGTTTTATGATTTGGCACATTCTTTCCCTAGAACACGTTGCTGTCTTTCTTCTAGACCATCACTGTTTATGTATGTGGAAATTAATGAGGTGGTCTATTTGTTATGCTAGTGTCTATGGTGTGTGTGTGTGTGTGTGTGTGTGTAAATTAATCTGTATTAGAACACGCAGTAGGGGGTTGACCAGCTGCTGGTTCAGCTCCACCTACCCTGAGGGCTGCAAATCAGGATAATGATTTAAATGGGGCCTCCCTCCACTCTTTCTTCTGTCCCCCCCCCCAACACACATAGTATTTTATTTTTCCTCTCTGTTGTTCTCCCACAACACACACACACACACACACACACACACACACACACACACAGCCCCTGTACCCCCCAGATCTCTGGCAGCCCAAGGCAGTTAGGAAGCACAGTTCAACCCTGTAGATCACTGTGTCGCTGCAGGGGTCTGCAGGGGTCATGTCTTAAAGGTAATAGTTAATCACCAAGTGCTCAAAGCCAGTTAGCAGAAGTGAAACAGAACAAAGACAGAGGTACAAAGGAGGGAGTGAAGCAAATATATGAGTGTCAAAAACCATGACTGTTTTCAAAAATTTGAGTACTGCACATGGTTTTTATACATATTAATCTGTCTTTGAAATAAATAAAGAGTCTGACACCCTGCATTTCGTTTTTTTCCTGCAGAACATTCCAACTTTGGGAACAGTTGCTATAACGATGGCACTGCACAACTGTGATGAGGTGGCAGTGGCTGGTTTTGGCTACGACATGAGCACACCCTATGCACCTCTGCACTACTACGAGAATGTCAAGATGTCTGCTATTAAAGAGGTCAGTTATGGAACATCTGAGTACATCCCTTATTGCCCTACAAAAATCATCAGTGGGTTTTGTTGAGAGCCTATCAAAACGTAAAAGGCACATTTGTAAAGGTGCTTTTTAATGTCCAGATTTTTAAATGAAACAATCTGACAATCTGTCCGTGCTAAGGAGAATAATAATTTCTGACTTACCCCTAACCGCTCTGGCCACTAAAGAATAATTGAAGAAACAAATGACTGTAATCTCTGATGAGAGAGACCACCACTCCTGTGGAAGAGGGTTAGGGAGGAGGTAAACTGGCCTAAGGCCAAAACACATTCACTACAAAGCATTCACTCTGTAGTCTGATGGTAATATTAGTCCATGAATTGTGCATGAACTGAACTGCTCTCAGCATTTTGTATTTGCATCCAAAGATGTGACAGTTTTGAGCTTGATGAACACTGTGGCAAAATGTGTGGAGTTGCTCTAATTGGATATTGTTCAGGACTCATGCTGATCAGCTACTTGTCCTCTGACAGTTGAGGTTATTCAGATATGAAGGTTTAGTTGCGGGCTCTTTGGTTCTGTTAAAACTGTGAAGGTGTGAGGGGGAAAAATGTAATGCAGTGTGGCTGTGGCATTGATTGTATTTTCTATGTCTATAACTGTATCTGAAGTTAAAATATGCTTTGATGCCTTTCAGTACTCAGAATGTTTCTATTGGATCAGGAGTTTTGTATATATTTCTAAAATCTAAGTGACTGGTTAATACACCTTATTCTTTACTGAGACCAGAACCAAAATGACAAAAAGAAGAAATCACACTGAAACAGAGTAAAAACTTCATCAAGAAAATAAAAACTAAAACTGAAGAATGAAAATATCAAAAGGTTAAATCTGTAAATTCCCCAAAGTGAAATGGCACTGGTCTTTCATCGGTCTGTATCAACATGCTAACTGTTAGCGCATCGTTTGAACAATCATTTTCTAAACGCCCTCATGACGGATCTCTCTCCACTCCATCCGTCACGTCTTCCTCTCAGTGTTTACACTTAAACCCAGTGGAATCAAAGATGTCACTCGTATGCTGATGTGTGTAAACCATGAGCTCAGTATGATGATAACCTTTGTCTAAACTCCCAGTGAACCTTTGGCATTTATTATCATCATCTTCATCAACATTGTAATCATCAGCCACACATGGTTAATTAATGGGAATACTTCTGGCTTTTTTGTTTGGAACATTTAACCACCGCCACTCACTGGGGTTGTTTGATTTTCTGGAACCGCACGAACGCTGAACCGTGAAATTATCTGCGCATTATTCCACTACTTTGGAGGAAGAGCCTGTTTTCTATCTGGATGGATGCTTTGAAGCGCAACGGAAATCATGATAAACAAGATACATAGAAGTTGAAGTCACGTACATCACTTTAGGCAATGTAGTGCTAGTGAGGTCACCTGCTGGTGTATGAAACACTTCATTTTTGTCCTCAATTATGTTATCTCAGAGCTAAACAAACTCATTGACATTGATTTAGTTAAAGCTGCTATGATCAATATGTTTATATTAACAATGGATCAAAAGGCTACTTGTATGTGAAGGACTCACTCGTAGTGACGAGCACACAAACATTTTATCGGTGTCCTTTCATTGTTTTGGTTTTACAGCCCCCAACATTACTGTTTTGATTCACTCTCACTGCTGTTTTCAACCAGCAAAAGCTCTAATAAATCCACCGTACGGTACCTGCTCAGCACCAGTCAGCAGACAGACACAGTAGCTGGTGAACACAGTGGAGCATTTCACAGCTAAACAGCCAGAGATTTCCCTCAGTAGTGGAGAGGAAAGCAGAGCTAAACGGAGTGAATGAGGAGACCAGAAACATGACTCCAAATTAATGTTAATGTTGCACTGTGTCTGCTCAGTGTCTGCTAAATCTGTAAATAAGCAGCTGTTAGACATAACACCTTTACAGGTGATAATATGTCAGTGTTGCATTTACAGCTATATGCACACTCTTGAGGTCCAGCTCAAATTAAATATGTTTTTACTGCTACAGCATGCAGATCTGTTTTGTAGAAAGTATCTGAACCCAAACGAGGAAAAATAAATATTTTACATTTTCAGAGTGCCACCCATCTGTGCATATATATATATATATATATATATATATATATATATATATATATATATATATATATATATATATATATATAATATATATATATATATATATATATATATATATATATATATAATATATACTGTCAGAATGCTATTTTTCTTCATGCCATTTCATTTTAAACACATGTACAACAAGCGATCTGTCTTCACTGTTCTGTCATTGGCTGATGCCGATTCAGTCTGTGGCTCTTTTTGTGTTATGCCATAGCTGCTGTTGAGAGTTTATGTCTAACCACATTAACTTTCCAGCTAATGCATCCTCCTCCTCCTTTAAAAAAGGACATGTCTTGTGTTGCACCTTAGCTTGCTAGCAACCAAACAAGCATTCACCAGGGAAAACTCCGCTTAGAATGCCAGCAAGTAACTAATTACTTAGCCAGAATGAACATATTGAACAGCTTAAAACCTGCAAATGCTATCATAACACAGTTTGGATGGATCTTGTTCTTCAACATCACTGCTAGCAAGAACACTTTCTGTACTGGACTTGTAAGCTATAGACAGGTTTCTGTGCAGTGTGCAATTAGGGGGCAGAAAGCAGAATAATCTCTCTTTGCGGCAAATCAGTTTATGCGGCAGCAGTGTTCAAATTACTCAGAAATTGTAATGAGTTACTTCTTACTTAGTACTCCTTTAAAAAGTAATAACATTACTTTATTACATTATTGGTTCTTAAAAGTAGGCTAACTAAAGGGGGGCTTTCACACCTACCTCGTTTGGTCTGGACCCTCAGACTTTTCAGTTTGGTCTGAACAAAATTGCAGGTGTGAAACCTCCCACGGACCACGGTCCAGACCAAACAGACGAAATTTGGTCCGACAAAAAGAGGTAGTCTCGGTCCGGATCAAACTGAACCATGGTTCGGTTAGTTTCTGGTGTGAAAGCATTTTTTGGATGGTTCTGACTTTCAGACTGTTTACAGGAACTTTGGCAGTTGACGTATCAACCGGAAACAAACAAATGCATGGGGAAATGCATTGAAATAAGCACACAATTATAAATCTCCCGTGACAGCTCATCTTTTCAAACAGACAGCGACTATAGAAGCACACTGCAACATACATCTTTGGTTTCTCCTTAAATGGAGGTGCAGAAGGATTGCTTGCTGTCTTCTCCTCTTTTCCTGTCGGCAACGTAATAATGTTCGCACAATGAGGATGTTTAATTGCGAATTTGAACTAGCCTTCAGTATAGTTGGTGCTGCAGATAGTAATGCCATAATAATAATATAGTGGCAAATATGCACATGCTCATTTTTTATTCACTCATTCTTGTCAAAGATACCAGCTGAACTGTTTAATAAACCAATCAATGTCAAGTATAGGGAGACACAGCCCACATAGATGGTGATGACAGGACGCAAGTCTTTCATGTAAAGTCCTTTAGTGCGGTCGCAGAATTGCAGTATGAAACCAAACCAAAACTAACCGAATGTATCAAAACATGAACTTTAGTTCGGACCTTGGTGTGGACTTTCAGATGTGAAAGCCCCCTAATATTAGTTAGGCTGTGTTACTCATTAAGTAATTACTCTCAAACCCCCACACCATCCCATCCTTAAAATTGATGGAAAACCTGTTCAGCAGCTCATTTTAGAAATTAATCCACTTTGCCGGAACAATAATTAACCTGAGGAGTCAACAATTAGCTTAAAAAAAAACGCTGCAGCCTCTCAGACTAGATGATGCTGTAGAGAAGGCTTTAGGCTACGGATATATTTAGAAATAATAAAACACAAAGCAAGTCTTTTCTGACTTTTGAACTAACTTAATAGCATATTCATAACAGCAGCAAGGAGTAGCCTATGGTTTTTACAAAACATCACATTTCTTAATGCCACTGGCTGAAATAAAAAAAATAAAGCAAGTCTCTGTCGACTATCGAACTAACGTTACTGTTCTGCACATACATTTAAATAAAGATTTTTGCTGTTACAATGGCAATACTTACAGATATGGAAAGAACACCTCTCTCCCTCCTTCTCCATTCTTCCTTTTAGCAGCTGACTTGAACAACATCCGGTCCGGTGCCGTTAACTCGCCACAAAGTCGCACATGTTAGAGTAATATGCAAATGAAACACAAACAGATCCAACTCTGAAATTATAGTTTATTATAGAGTCAACAAGAACTTACAAACTTACTTACTTACAAAATCTATGTTGATTGCAGTGGTTGACTACAGTCTTCTGACCGGCTACCAAAGCGTTTTTGCCCCCTGACTGTGTGCGCAACCAGTAGTGTTGTATACAAGAAACCCATCTATATTTACCACCACTCAGTTGTTTATATTGTGTCTGTGTGCCCAGTTAGCTCAGCTCTTAATCAAACACAAACACCAGCCTGTCATCTCAAAGACTTGCAGGCTTCTGATGTATCAGTTGGACTTAAAAATTTACAGCCCTGTTTCTTATGTAATTCCAGTACAACTGTATCTTATTGTTCCTTGTGGTCCTGTCGTGATCCTTTACGTAGTGGTAGGAAGCTCGACCCAGACTGGCCTAGAATCTGTAGGAGAGTCTTAAACCAGCAGGATAGAGCAGATGCAGCCCAACCTCCTGTAGCTCTCCACATATTTTTTTTCTTCCTCCTATTCCCTCTTGTATCTTTCTTCCTCCACCCTTTGCCTCCTTCATCTGCTCTCTGGCTGTTCCTTAGTCTCTGCATCCCAAAGCACCACACAGGAACCACCGGCTCTGGTTACATGTTGGCCCACTTGACAGAATCCTCATAGCACAGCAGGGAGGAAAACTGATCCAGTGTGACTTTACACATATATGCACACCCACACATATAGACAATACGGAAACCCTAAACATCTAAAAGTCTATGTAGCAGTGCAAATGTAGAAGTATTCTCATAATGCTTGTGGCTTATTTGTTTTTTTTGTTTTTTTCCTTGCGATTCCCCCACAGTCATGGACACACAACATATCCAAGGAGAAGGAGTTCCTCCGCAAGCTGGTGAAGGCCAACGTCATCACAGACCTGACCCACGGTATCTGAGTTTACTCCCACCTACAGTCTCCTTCTGCGTTTCCCAAAGGACTACAAAACAGGAAGCTGGGAAACGGATAGAAAAGAACCCTTAGATTCCGGGTGGCCTGAACACTGTCGGGGTTTTCATATCAAAGGAGATCTTTTTTTTTTTTTTAAAGATACAGGAGGTTTTCTGTGGAGAGATGCACACATGTGCCTTCAGAACCAAAGATTCCAGCTGATCGAAGCAGGGGATGGGGGGTCATGGGGAGGACTTATCAAGAGGCGGTCGGAGGAAAGCTCTTCAGCCCCACGCATCAATGCTTACCCCCCACCCCACCGCCCTGTTGACATACACATGTCAGGATTTCGCTGAACTTGCTGGCCAACTTGATGAAGGGACATAAAGGAATAAAGAGAGGACGGTAACAGAACGTGTGCGGGGATGGGCTGATTATTAGCAGTGCCAAATGTACCTCGTACAGGGGAGCAGTTCTCTCCTTTTGCTGCCTGAATGTATTCACTTTACTCAGTGTTAATATCAAAGATTTCTACATTGCTTTTTAACAAGATGCAGCAGCCCCCATCCCCCACCTTCCCTCTGTCCATTCATTCACATCTGTCCAGGGTCCAAAATGAACACCTGCCAAGTCAGATAGTAGATAAAGAGGGTCACCTGCCACTCGGACTGGTAACACTTTTGAGACACTCACAATCGAGTGTTGTCGTAATATATAGACTTTTGTTTCAATTTCCTCAGTTTTTTTTCTGTAAGGGAGTTATATTAGTGACTATAAACCAGGTTGTGTTGTTAAGCTGGCTCTACAGAATGGTTGTGTGTTTCTGATATCTGGTGGTCAGTTATCCCCATGTAACCAAAGGTCACCAAATAGATTAAAACAAACAAGTTTACAGATAAATTATTTAAATGTTTTCAATTTTCAGCTTTTTAATGATAATTTTAGTAATCAGAATCTCTACACTAAACAGAATTTTGTTAAGTGTGTGGATTCGTTGGTCTTAATTCTTTTTATTTGGTCTTTTTTTTTTGTTGTTGTTGTGTTTCTGGCAGGTGAGCCCAGAAGTTAAATTCGGACACCGACCTCTCTCTTCCACCTCTTTGTGTCTTTGTAAATTCTTCTTCCTCTCGGTTGATTCACATCATGGTATTGTCTTCACCATTTCATCAGCTACAGCATAGACGTACAGTAACTTGTACTGGGGAAAGAGAGTAGATTCTGTATGTCCGATCTCCTTTTCCAACCACCTGTTGCTGCAGATGTTCTTGTTCTTCAGTAAATGGTGAAATCTCAGATCGTAGATGATAAATATATATATATACACACACACATATATATATATATATATATATATATATATATATATATATAGTTTCTTTGGTTGTTTTTAGGTTACTTTTAATTATTTATTTTACAAAGTCCCAGTGTTTTGGTCACAAGCCTACTTTCTGTTCAGTTAAGAGAAAACACAAAAATTTTGAATTTGTGTTTCTTTTCAAAATTCCCCACCATGTTTTTCTACAGACACTGCATCATCTTTTAAGTTTGTGGCAGAAGCAGTGGTGGGATTGAAGGATCAATCTGTTTTTTAATTGGCTTAATGTTAAATGTTGTTTCTGTCCTTAATGCAGCTTATGTTAGCACAATACTGTTGTGCTCTTTTCTACGATGGACGCATTCACAGTTTCTTAAAACTGAGATATTCTATGATGTTATAATTGCAATGCTCATTGTCAAATTACATACATACATGCATACATAATATTACATGGTCTGATCAGGCCTTTGCACTTTGCAGAGATGGTTCTGCCCCATGCCTCTCAGTATTTCAGTATTCTCCCTCAAAAAATGATGTGTCAACATGTCACATCTGTGTGCTTTTTGTCATTTTATCAAATTAATGCGATAAACAGCTTTATAATAGTGATGGTACATTTAAATTCTGCTTCACCAAAGCAGGGTTTTGTTGTTTTTACAGTTCAGTGGGGTTTAGATCTGTTTTCTGTTTATAATTCTTCTTTGGGAGTGCATATTTACTGTACATTTTTTTTATAAATACACACACACACACACACACACACACACACACACACACACACACACACACACACACACACACACACACACACACACACACACACACACACACACACACACACAGGTTCACTTCCATCACTCTGTCAGTAAGCTGCTCTTGTTGGATCTGTCACATTGCTCCTTTTTTGATTGGTTTTCACACAGCAGCATGTCCTACCCAGTCCCCTCAGAGTGGCTCCGCTGGGCTTGAAGGACTGGAGCACTTTTTAGAAACTCTGCCCTTTTTGGGACTTTTTTTCTGAGAGCGAAGATACAATGAGCAGCTGACCATTGCACTATCATTAGGCGCTCTTGGTGCCTTACACCTCATCACCTGGAAACTGTAGCGAGGAGTTTGACATGGGAAAGTAGCAGCAGCCAATCGTGTGTGTGTGTGGGGGGGTATAGTATAGTGTGTATGTGTGTATGCTAACAGTCGAGGAAGTATTGAAGCCTCCATACTGGTAGTTTTAGCCCAAACTACATATTCACCACAATTGTATTTTTTCACAATTTAAATTATTGGCTACTAAACGGCAACAAATTAAATGCAAGAAGTGACCAAAAACACTTTGCTTCATCCATGGTAGCTAATCGTTTGTCTTGCATTGATGTGCAACATTCCTAATCAATACAGTGGTTTTTGGAAGCTTACTATTAAAGGGGCACTCCTCCAATTGCATACAAAGTTCAGTTTACTCCTCACGAAGAGTACTACTGAGTTGAATAGTTGTGTAATGTCTTATGTGTTACTGGAGGGAGCTTTTGTAAAAAAAAAAAACAAATAAATCTGTTTTTGGAGCTTGACCCATTCTAGAGACTAAAGGTCAGGATATCTTTTTTCTTTGCTGCTACGATTATGACCGTTCCTTTTTAAATCTGTCTTTTGAGTGCAGTGCTAAACTGGAGTACCTCTTTAATAATAATAAACTATATTTATGAAGCACTTAAAAAGTTACAGTGCTTTACATGGTTGAACCAGTGGTCACACACTTCAACATTAACGCTTGAAATGCACTAGCAAGGAGAGATTGTAAGTTGTCCTCGCTGACGGCCGCAGGGCCATGTCATATTAATGGGACTTGACAAAAAATGAAGGAGACAGTGAAAGATTATGTATAACAAACAGCTTAGATTTGGCTAAATGAAGATAGCGTACTGAAATCATTTGAACCAGCGGCTGCTTGAAGGATTGTATGTTTTGGAAAATGATCATTAATAAAGTAGAATATGTGCAATTTGTAGTCAGCGGGCTAAAATAAAACCTGCCAAAACACCAGTATTGTCTTTAAGACTTTGAGACTAAGCAGATCCTTAGTTTTTCATTTTTTTTGTGGGGGGGGTTATTTCAGACTTTTACAAATGCTGGAAGAGTTTCAATGAATTGATCCAAATTGCCTCTTTTGCTGTCTTGTTCTCTTAAAGCTGAATGTATTCGCTTTCATCATCATATTTATAGACCTTTTTTTTTTTCATTGCACCATCATCAAGGGGAATCTAAAGTGATCAAAACGGTTACTGTTTCTTTTTTATATATTCTTCTAAATGGCTTTCTGCAACTCAATAAATATGTTTCTAATGGATATTTGCCTGTGCATGTTTGCATCTTTTAACTGCTTTTGTGGAGCAACTGGATATATTTTCCCCCAAACAGCTCAACAGTTTTTTTTGTTTTGTTTTTTGGTATATACATATTTCTGTACACTGTATTTTCAGAATATTTAGTAAATATTTTTCATGTAGTCTTTCTGTTTAATCTCAACAGACATACACTACTTTTTATTCTTGCTTTTGTCAAAATGTGAGAGCGGGTGGCCTGAGCGTCTTTGCAGATGGCTTTTCAAAGCACAGTGTGGCCTTTTTTGCCACAGCCCGTATACTTATGGCTGAGTAGGCTTCATGTTATGCACTGTACATCAGGTAGTATGCTGTCTGTGTGTCACTTACTGTGTTTCAGAGGTTACAAACTGCAGGACGCTCACATTAAAGATGAAGGAGTGATTGAACTGAGGAGCGTGGAGAAGGGGATTTCCTCTCCTGCTCTGTGCTCTGTATCTCCTACCTGCAGAGCCAGAGGAAATCATTTTTCAATCCTCCATCCACCGGACTTCCTCCCTAATGTACTCTTCTCTTCTCTTGTGTGTTTATGTCTGTCCCACTCTGTGTCCCTCTCTGACTCACTTTTCTCCCAGACTTTCCTCATCCCCTCCTTCTCTCCTCCCCCATATTCTTTCTGTTTTGCAGTCTGTTCCTGTTCCTGTGTCATGTATTTCTTTCTCTTCACCTGCTCTACTCTGAGGCAGATCTTGTTTCATTGCTGTAGCCATGAGGGACCCATTGGAGACCTGCTGCGCACGCACACGCACAATAATCACAGTTCAGCTGCAGCCGTGAAACTTTCACTGACTTTCACACACCGCAACATCAACATAAACCAGAGAAGAGTTGCTGAGAACGAGCGAGAGAAGGCCGTCCAGCTGTGGCTGCTGTAAGTCAGTATTGGTGTGGGGTGAAAGAGGACAAGACGCTCAGGGCCCTTAAAGCGCTGCTGGTCCGTCCCATTCTGCTGTTAATGGGGTGCCAAAAACTTTCGGCCCCCACAAGTCACGCCTCACTGGTCACCAAAACCACCTCGCTCTGGCTACTCTGACTCAACAGATTTCCCGACCTCCACAGGGTGGAATTGAATGCTCCCTCCCCGCAGAAGAAGGATATTTGCCACCTGGGATCTCCCCGACGCAGCTGGCTGGCCGGCTGGAGGCGGTCGTTCCTGTTCGTCCGGCAGACAGGGGTATGAGCACGCCTGCACCTCTTCAGCCGGCGGGCCTTTTATTCTCTGCGACAGGTTTCCCGCCCCACCTCCTCTCAGTGGGATTGGAACGGAGGGGCCGCGACCCCCGGGCCTGAAATTCAAACTCCTCGTAAAAAGAATTGGAACGGGGAGAGAAAACACCCATTTTCCCCCTCTGTTTACTTATTGTCGGTTCAGCTGAGATGAAGGAAAACAACATTCCCTTCTTCACAAAATGTCCCACATTCTGTCAGTTTACCTTTGTGTCTGGATGAGACACACCTACAGGGCTGTCACGTACCTGTATCACTGCAGGGAACAGAGTGTTTCTTCTTGTCCTGTCAGCCACTAAACTTGTAGTGCACCATGATCGTTTCTAGTAAATATCAATGAATATAGTTTCATAGTAGTTCAGTCAGCACCACATGTCTCAACAAAAGAGATGGATTGTGATGAAATCTTGTACAGACATTAATGTTCCCTAAATTATGAATCCTGACGACTGTGGTGATACACTGGTTTTTACTGTAGCGTCACATCTGTAGTTGGAGTGTATTGACAACTCGGATTTCCATGACATTTGATTGAAACATTTATGGACCCCTCTGGATGAATTGTAATCACTGTGGTGGCGCCTCCACTTTTCATCTAGTGCCACCATCGGGTCAAAGTTTTAATTGGTACAGTACTGTGACTAAAGAACTAATGACGTTATCATCTGCCTCAGCTGTACTTGGTGTTTTGTCTAGCAAATTTTAGCCTGCTAACACGTGAAAGTAATATGGGGAATATTGTACCTGCTAAACATCAACGTGGTTTAGCAATGCCTTTGTGGGCATGTTAACATGCTGACGTTAGAATTTAGCTCAAATCACCATTATGACTCAGGTCACCCTCACATGGCTAATATAGCTGTAGACTCGTAGGTTTGTTGCTTAAAAAGTTACTTAAGCTACTATATGGTTAACTGATTATCAAAATTTGATTATTCAACTTATTTCAGCTGTACGCCCTCAAAGGTTCAGTGTGTAAGTTCTAGTGGTGAGGGTTGCGAGTTGCACCCCCCAAGCGAGCAGCATAGCTACGGTGCCTCAGACAGAACAAAGATGTCAATTATGAAATGAAAGAGATTGCCAGTCAAGAAATTCGGTTTCTTTTAGATATATTAAGAAATTATATAAGTTATGTAAAACCATATGTTTTTTGAATATTATTGTTACTTTTTCTTTAATAAACAACAGCCACATGAAGAAATGAAGTGCAACATGATGTCTCATTCTCCTGTAATACATTATTTTACAACTTGGGAGGGTTGGCTCATCTGGACTAACATACCAAAGTAAATGACGAAATTCTCAAACACTATCACATCTAGTGCATCAAGTATGACCTGACAGATACCAGGACAATGTAAGCTTCACTGTTTCTGCATCACAGTCCATTATAAACCACATAATATATGAAATTTACAAAGGCATTGGCTGGTGAGGATCAAGGCTCCTCTCACTTTGCTTAATTAGATAAGCATGCAAATATTACTAAAATGTCTTTTTTAATTTTTTGAAATACAACAGAAACACAAAGTAGTACTGACAGCCATAATTTCAACTTGTGGTAAAACGGTGCAACGTTTTAATGGGCATTTAGCATGTGAAAGCACAAATTACATCTTTGTGTGCACAGTGGGACGCAATATCCATTAAGTTTTTTTAATGCAAATTCTGAAAGTATTCATTTTTGGTCACTTGATAGGCACAGGTCTTGTTATACATCACCATTAGCACAAAACAAAACAACATACATGTTTTCCACCAGGGCAGTAAAATGTGAAGTTTAGCTGCTGATCTGAGCTTCCCTGCTGTTACCGTTTCATTACCAATAATATTCATCAGCTGTTCGTCTCAGGAAGGTAACGGCACATTTCTGTCCACGTAACAAAGCCATAACAGAGGCTGGAGAATAACTACATATTTTTTCTACCAGCACAGTAAAATTTTAGCTGGCTGATCTGAGCTTAGATGCTGGAAGCTGCCGTTTTATTGCCAATTAACGATCAGCTGATTCTCACGAACATAACATACAAAGCCAAAACAGAGCGCTGGAGAGAAAGAGAGAGATAAATACATGAAATTAATCCAACTAACATAACACCACAAGCCAAAGCACAGCGCTGGAGAATAAACCAATCCAACTAACAATAAATGTTTTTCTACCGGTCAATAAAAGTTTAGCTGGCTGATGCTTCCATGCTCTAAGCTAACGTTACGGTACTGATCAGCTGATTGTCTCGCTAACATAACCGGCAAAGCCAAACCACAGGCTGGAGAATAAGTAGGCGCCATGAAATTAATCCATATTTCACACCACTGACAGGGGAAACATGTCAGGGCTTTCTGTGATTATGGCCAGCTTCTAGCTAAAGCTCGCAACCAACCGTTTTCATTTGCATCGCTAAAGTCTGACAAACAAAGTTTACCTGTCAAGCAGAAAACAGACAACTTCAGCACCGCTTTGAAAACATCTGGGAAAATCCACAAAATCCGTGATTTCTGCCGTCAGCTGTCTGTCCCGACTCTGTCTGGCTGTCGGCTCTAGTGCTAAATAACACGTGTGCTCCTTCATTTGTCCAAATGTCACTTCTCTTCTTACTTCTAATAAACCAGAAGACTAATCAGAGACTGTATATTACTATTAATATTAGTCCCTCTTCTTTGTAGGTATTCAATGTAGTGACGGGTTTCTACACTACCGGAATTACACAAGCAGAAGAAGAACGCCGTGATGACGAAACGCGCTCTGTAGCGCTGTTTGTTCTTTTCTTTTTTTTAAGTCATGTTTATTGCAAAAAGGGGGTTACAATTCAGATGTGACTTATAAAGATATACAAAACAGTATTCAAATACATATATAAAACACAGATAAAATTGTATAAAGCTTTGCCAGGGGAAGCTTATAATCTATTAACTAGGCTAACTGCCTTTTTGTTGCTGGAGCCAGAAATCAAATTAATATAAAGGACAACTTCATGGAGAAAAAGTACAAAATTAGTTTTTTTTAGCGCTGAATTTACATTTATGAATGTGGAATTTTGCCAACAGAATTAATAATTTATAATAATTTATAATGAAGTACAACTTTTCTATATTTTCTATAAAAGCAAAATACAACATTCTTCCACAATAAGGCAAAGTCTTTATAGATATGGTCAATGATAAATCTGCTGGGGTTTTGCCAAAATGTTCTGGTGTGTGAGCAATACCAAAAGAGGTGCAAAACTGTTTCTGGGTAGTGCTGTTTGTTCCTTGTGGGCTACGGTAGAAACATGATGACAAAATACAGCGACCTCCACAGCAGGGGGTGCCCGCGGTTATTTAGACATAAATGCCCCATGTTGTGTAGGCCTACTTTGCTCGCCCTTCCACATAATAACGCCTCTAATCACGCCATGTGCTGATACTTTGCTCTATGATTTGTTTATATGAACAGTGATACAACAAATCTGGAGGACGCCTGCAGGAATGCAGCTTTGTAACGCTCAGATGAAATGTAAATTACTGCAGATTTATCTGCGCTTCATTCACTTGTTTGATCTAATGTGGAAACACATTGTTATGGATTTCACTGTTTTGCTCTTCCAGCTACAGTAGGCTATGACTTTGTCAGATTTGGACATTTTTTCAGATTTGGCCAGAGACCTTTGGACTGTGTGCTTGATGAGGGGTGTTCCCACTTGAAAGGGAAAACAAACTTTTAAAGCTGGAACAGGCCCAAGAAAGGAAAGGCACCTTTGGATGGAGAGAGCACATGAAGAGATGGAGAGGAAGGACAAGCAGTGAGGTCAGTGACCTGTGCCTCCAGAAGGGAAAAAAAGAAACCTTGGGTGGAATTTAAAATATCCTTTAACTGTCCTTCACATCTGGAACAACCACTCCACGTTTTCCTTTCTTTCTTTCTTTCTTTCTTTCTTTCTCTCCCTTCTCTCCCTTCTCCCTTCAGCATCACCACCCAAAATCCAAACTACCCCCCGTCCCATGCTGATCTGAGCACCCTGTGTCTATGGAAACAGCTGTGGACATCCCTAAGAGCACCAGGACGTATACTAAAAATCCAAAAATGTCATATCTTTTTGTTAAAGGAAATTCTCAAAAATTCATTTTTTTTATTGTTACAAGGAAAAGAAAAACTCCACAATATTGATCGTGTTCCTACTGCTTGCCAGAGACTAAACCTGCGCGTGCGCAAGATATATGTGTGTTGGGCTTGCATGGGGTTTAACTGGGTGTACAAACACTGTCATGCTGCAAATCCCTCTCACAATGCCAAACAAGTCCATCACCATTGCTCTCAGTGATGGATGATGTAGACACATTTCTTAAATGTGTGGCTCTGGTTGCAGTGCGGTGCCCTATGCTGAAACTCTGCCACCTGCCTGATGACTTTACACTGGAATTCATTTTACTGAGGAGGTTATCTGATCTTTTTAAGAGAGGCCTGGCATTATTTCGCCCACCAAATCCCTTTAATGTGTGTGGTATTGTGTGCTTAAGGAGTAAAACAAGCTTTTGGAGAGGGGTAATATTAGGGAAAGAACGTTGTATAACTTATTTAGCCATCTTTCATTCATCTTGGATCTCAAAAAGTCTATATATCAGATTTTTGTGACCCAAGCAGGTCTCTCTTCCCTCCTGTTGTTATTGAACTCGTCCTTATTATCTGACGGTACATTCCTGCATGTCATGCACCTCAGCTGTGTGCATTGTTGCCTTGTTGGTCGGTACTATTAATAGCACCATGGCAGAGATCAGGGATCCTCCCTGCATTTGTCTCTGTGTGGAGAGTGGGCCCAGAGAGGCAAGCTAAGGAACTGTTTACCCAGCCTTTGTGCTTGGCGGGCCTCAGTGTTTGCCATGCAGGGAGTGCCTCTGCTGAAGGGCCTTTCCGTGCATCGGAGGGTGGGTAGGTGGAGTGAGGTGGCTGGAGCTCCGCTGGGGGAAAGTGCGTGGTTTGAGGTGCAGTGAGCAGGGGTCTGTCCCAGGAGTCCCAACTCTTTCACTTACAGTACTCTCCCTGCACATCCTTCAGGCTTGACAGCAGGTGACACAGTTTGGTAAAGAGGCCAGGGCAGGACTGACTGGGCAAACATATGAAGCCTGCAGGTACTCACAATAAATCATGCATGTGCACCAAGAAGGATTTCTTAAAGGCCTACTGGGCACGAGGCCAGGGGGTCAGGGGGCCAATGTTTGAAGTGACTGTTTTATTGGAAAGTCAATCAAACAACTATAAAAAGATGCAAAACCACTTCAAAACACTACATAGGGATGCAAATTGACTACAAAGATACACGGCTACATCTTTTGTAGTCGTTTTGTGTCCCTTTGTGTCTGGTTCAGTCTTGCTGTCTTGTCTTCTTATAACCAGTACATGTATATGTGTCCATTCATGTTTGTGCTGTCTTGTGTATGCACCTACAAGCGGACTATAGTGAATAACTCTACATTTAAGAGTAAATACTGAAGGACAGATGCCACTCGCCTGATTCCTCCACTGGAACACTTTACCAGAAATGCTCCATGACCGTCCTGTATGACAATCACTCCCCTATCTCCCTCCCTCCCTCCTCTCAGCGCAGGAACAAAAAGACATCTGAGCTATGTGGAAGAAAAATCACAGCACTTTGCAAAGCGGCCAGCGCGCTCCGGTTTCACAAAGTCTCTGACAGGCGGAGCGGCGCTCTGTTTTTACGCATAGCCTCCAGTCCTGCGAGGCATTGAAGACATTGCTTAGTAGCTGTGTAGTAGACTCCTGAGAGAACACCAGAGCGTCTCACTCCCCGATAACTGGATACCTGTGTCCAAAGTAAGAGAGTTTTTATGTTTGTTTGTTAAGAGAAGCGCTTGCTTGGAGACGCGGACTGTAGCTGCGTAAAGACGTGACGCATGGAGTTTTTAAATTTAAGAAAGATATTTTGACCCACAGAGCAGCGGTTTTTCATTTTGAACTTCACATTCAAATTCGAGTACAACCCACTGACACGTAAAACAAGAAGACAACAAGACTTCCCTCTGCTTTCCTCCTAAATTAGAGAGCCCCTCCTTGGACGTTTTGATACTGTACCGACCTTGACTTTGCTTTAAATAGACGTAGAACAGTGAGACATTTCCCGCGGTGTTTACTCATTAACCATACAAGCTGTTTGGAGGCAAGACTGAACAGGTTAAGGAGGTAAGGAGAGGGGAGCCATGCCTGAAAAACTGGCTTCTTTCATTAAACGATGATTGGACGTGAGTCAGCGAGGAGACAGCAAGGGTAGCTAATTGATGACAAATATTTTTTACATTTCGAGTTGGTTGTCTGTCCTCTCTTGTTCGCCGTGTTGGAGTGTTTGTGTCAATGCAAACAAACATCTACCTAATTAGATTTAATATAGGCCTTACCCTGCATGCACCAGTCAGTTGTAAAGTTTATTTTCCCTGACCTGGACAGCCTACAGCTTCCCGTCTGCAAAATGTCCAGCATAACAAGTCATTCGGTCTCCTAATCTTTCTTAAAATGCACATTTCTGTAGAAACTGAAAGGCCTGCGCTTAAGATAACTTCACTGATTTCTACCAGTGTTTCAGGATCTTTCTTGAAACAATAAAGAGGTGACAGGTGAAGAAAATGAGCCAGGCTTTATTTCACACAGAGGCATCGGTTAATTCAGGAAATATGTGATTCAAAAGTGGGAAACTCCTCCATGAGATCTCATCCAGTGGTGATATTTCACTCAAACTTTAAGACCCATTATGAAACCTGAGACATTTTTGGATAATATGACTTTAGCTCGTACGTTAACAGTCTGTTTTTATTCACTAATCCACTCTCTCTGTTCTTGTCCAGGGTGTCGAGACTCTGCAAGAAGCCGTGACAGGAGACCGGCCAGAGAAAAGGGGATTTTGGCCGCGTAAAAAACGAGGAGGAGGCGCCTCTCGCGTTGAAGCAGAGCCGCTTTAGATGGATACTTCATGTTTGCTTCAGCCCCAGTGGAGACAGCCTGCTCTGAACACTTGCAAGCCGTGACAGTAAGGCGTAAAAGATGACACACCGCAGCGTATGGATTGCCAAAAACATGAACTGCAGCCAGCGTGGAAGAAGCGGCTCCTCTGTCATCTCCGGTGCGCACTTGGAGCAGAATGCGCACATGGCAGCTGGTAAGGCGCTATTCTAATTCTGTAAAGTTGTCTATATAGGGATTTTAGACAACGCCATATTCATTTGAAGTGATATTGTTGGATGTCTTTATGCGTAACGTTGCTGTGAAAGCAGTCTTTATGTCTTCATGTTTGCTGTGACAACACTGAAATGACTGATGTTTGATTTCTTTTAACATCGGTGGCTTTTCGCTGGGCTCCAAACTTCCCTGCACGCACCTGCCAGCTGTTTAGGCTCATCTGGTCACTGTGACCCGGATTCACTGTTGGACTTAATTTAGTGTTTATTGGGAGTGACATGCAGTCTGGGAGGAGGATGGTGGGGATGTGATCTGTGTTTTATAAAGTGAGGTTTAACAATTTATGGTCTGAAGTCTTTACAAGGTGGTAGAAGGCGACTCTGAATTATGGAACAATATAAATCAAAGTGACTTTGATTGCGTGAGTGTGCGCGCGCGCGCGTGTGTGTTCGTATGAATGAGGTGAAAGCCGTTGCAGTCAGGAATACTTCCAGTGTGAACCTCTCCTGTGGTGGGCTTCAAATCTAAATATGAAAGTGCTGGTCTCATACACACACACACAGCTACATACATTTCCCTCCGCTCCAGTACCTCTGAGGGGATCAGGAGCGGATCAAGTCTTTTAAGCTTCAGGTGTTTTGACGTGCTGAAAGTCGAGCACATTTCTTTGCAGTTTCAGATGAAACTGTGTTGATTGCTTCTGCTTGGTTTCCACAGACTATGAACTCTGGATTTTTTTTCTTTAGCACACTCACTTTTTCAGTTTGTGGATTCGTCCACTCAAAGATGTAAAAGAAACTACACGATGCGTCACAGAACTTTCATACTTGCTCTCTTACTCAGTGGTCCACTGACTCACTCAGTCATGTACATACAATGTCACTCATGCAGGCAGACAAGGCTCAGTCAGAGGACGGCAGACCTCTGATGTTCGGATCTTGATTTGGTGTTTCATATTTTTTCTCATTTCATCTTTGCATCTCAAAGCTGTTGTACTTGATGAATCTGTGTGTGTGTGTGTGTGTGTGTGTGTGTGTGTGTGTGTGCGCGTGCAACAGACATTTTACATCACCTGAAACATGTCACACATCCCCAGCAGGCATTCCCCCACTAAATACCTGTAAAATGTGTGAAAACATGTTGTGAAACAACCTTGTTTTTCTTTACTGGTGCCGTTTAAAATCTGCAACTTGTTCTAAGGCTGAACATGAGACTATCACCTCTGCTTTAGGCATGTCACACTCCCCCGTTACGCTGCCACAGCTTTCACTTCCTCCAGCCAAAGGTCACGGGGTCATCGGCCCTACCGCAGGTTAGGTACAGTGGGCTGGCACGTTCTCTTTACCAGCAGCCTCCTGATGTGTGGTCTGGTTTGTTTTAACTGGCATGTGGCTTTACGAGAGCTAGCTTGCCATTTGTTGGTGTTATGGGTTTAACTCTTTCTTGTTCTCATGCTGCTATGTTGCAAGTCATACTCGTAGAGAGTCAGTAAAACACTCACAAAATAAGTTATCATTATTACCACTCATTTCTATAAAGGCATCCTCATAAATATATTTAGAGCCACTGTGGCTGTAAACGGGCTCTGTCACTGTTTGTCTCCTTCACCCAGTGGTCTTCATTACTCACTAAGCTTTCAGCTGCAGAGCCTGATACTTCATACAGTATATTACTTTTATGCATTACATTAAAGACTCTGAGACATATTGAGGATAAATCCCCTGATTTTAGAAAATGTAACTCTGCAAGATAGCATCTTTCTCATCACATTTGCCAAGAAAAACACATGTACCGCATCCTACAACCTAGGGGAATGAATTGAAAGGACAAAAAAATCAGTTACTTTTGGACCTCGTAAATATTCCAAAAACAATAAAGAACAAAATTCAGAACCAAATAGTGTAGTGTTTTTTCTGCTGTCCTTAACTATAATGCTGCTTTTGTTACTCTTAATTTGAGAAGGCATCATGTTGCAAGCTTCAGTCATTTGTCAGTTTTGTTTTGCTGGGCAAGACTTGGTGTTAAGTAATAAAATTAAAATAGCACAAAGTTTGCCTCAATGCCCAAGCTTTAGTATAGGCCTAGCTAAGAACACAGCAATTTCACCCATAAAAAGCCTTTCTGTTTATAGACACTTTATAACCAAATAAAAAAGCATGTTTATCTTTATTCAGAAAACCCCCAAAAAATACTAAAGCATATAAGTCCTCCTTATTGTTCACTCCCAACTTATCCAATGTTTATATCAAATATTATGCCGCTACTAACCAACTAAAGAGAAATATTCAATATTCACCCAAAACACATTTTCAGCACCTACAATACCGCATGTCTGGATTAACTTTAGCTGCTATAGTTTAAATTATTGTAACTTACAGTTTTGTTTTTAGGTTAGCCTACCTAAACAGCACTCAATACCCTTATGACTCAGAGCTAGCTAACCATCAGAACATTTGCAACTTTATCTATGTTTTAAAAATAACTGCTGCTTTATTGAAAATGCCCAGTCTTATAATGCTATGTCTAAGTAATATTATCTACTAGCCAAGACCAAAAGCACCTTACTTGTTGTAATTGATTCTCCTCTTTGTTCTATATGACTCTTTAGAAATGTAGGCTAAGCTAAGAATGTAGATGTCCACAGTGTGGGTAAACTGTTGGCTCAAATTGAATCTGGACTATTACATATATTATTAAATTTTAGGAGCATTTAGAGTTTATTCTGAACATGGATTATTTTAACCAAAACTATAATTTATTGTCCTGATATTGCACTGTGTTGTGAGTATTCCAGTCATTCTATTAACCCGTTATAGATTGTTATGAGACATATTAACAATCAGATAAAGCCCTACATCTTGTAATATAACTTTAACTGTTCTGTAAAAAAGTACCCACTAAAGAACAATAAACTGAGGGCTGAATGGAAGTCTTGACACAAATAGAAAGTTGGAAATGCAAAAGGTTAGGGTGACCAGACGTCCCCATTTTTAACTGTGTGTTAATCATAGACTGTATAAGGTGCTAAGAGACCTGAAATCAGATTTCCTATGACTCTATATTATTTAACTTGCTGTGTGCCAACCAATCCAGTCCTTTTTACCTGTTAAAATTCCTTTAAATGGCCAATACAACCCATAACATGCAGTGTTTCACTTGCCAGAAAGTGATTGCAGCTTCTACTTACTGAGTATAGATTCTGCCTCAAAATGACTTCGTTTAATTCAGAAGCATTATATTTGACAGATTATAATAATACTGAAATTGTCCCCCTTTTTTTTTCATATGTAATAACATTATATTTTTAATGACATACTGACCACCAAACCAAAAATGTCCCCGGTTTTCATTTTAGAAATCTGGTCACCTTACAAAAGGTGAAATGTACAGATTGCTTATTAATAGGCACAAAATTATATGGCACATAAAAAGCATAATCAAACACAGTGACAGGCTTCAGTTTTACAAGCAACCCATTCCAGCATTTTGCTCCTTCCATAGCAACACAGTGAAATATTAAAGTAGAGCACAGTCTTTCCCAATTAGTGGAAAACTGTCATGAAAAGATGGATGTTTGGGCTGTGCAGGGAGTCTTGTCTTCAGCTCTGTCTCAGCCACGGTGTGTAATGTTACTCAGGTTGTTTTGTCCCAGGACTAATGGAGAGAGTGCAGCGAGAGAGATTGATTATGCAACCTGAAGTGCCACAGGGCAACTTCAATCTGGAAGTGCTTAGAGTATGCAGCGAACCACAGTGATTCCTTGAGGGCAAATTGAAGGAGGCATGATCTGACAAAAAGGAATTTCAATTTGTTAGATGTATTCCTTCAGACAAATGCTTCCCATGTTCCTTCTGTTTTCTGGGTCCATGCTTTTGTAGCCGTGGACAATCTCGTGTAAGTACGCTGGGGGAATAATTTCTGTCTCTGATCTTGAATTGTTTTGTTGTTGTTGAGCACTTTGACTTCTTCAAGTTCAAACAGCTTAAATTATTTAGAACAAAGCAGCAGTTAATACTTTTGGAGCCGCTGATGAAACATAAAGCAAACTCCTGTCCTTATCGGAAAATCTCCCTCCTTAAAACAACTTTTTCTCAAAATACAGAAGAATGTTAACTAGCCCAGTGCTGCATTTGTGTCTGTGAGAGCGCTTTTTGATACAATAAGCTGTATTCATCTGAAATTAGCAGGTCAGATTCATTAATCATAGCGTTTGAGGGCCTGCTTTGAACTATCAGGCCAGGTCATTAAACCCAGTCTGTCTGGGGCACAAGCGGGCGACACGGAAACACTTTGGAGAGCGCTGGTTCACCCACAAGACACACTAATAATGACCTCTGTGTGTGTGTGTGTGTGTGCGTGCATGCGTGTGTGTGTGTGTCACAGATGGCCACTTTTCTGACTGCTACTCTCGGGCTCAGTGTGGGCTTAATTTGGAGAAATAACAACATGAGATGGGAGCAAGGAAAGGTCGTGAGGGTGGGTGGATGGTGGGAGAGGGAATTTCAGTGTGTTTATGGTTTTGTATGAAAGGTGAGGGGTTCTGTGTGCAAATATGTGTGTGCAAAGCTTCTTTGGGGTGGGAATATCAGTTTTACAAAGTGGATTTGAGAGAAAATAGGCAGGATGAGAAAGAAAGACAGAGACCGAGAGTTGTTTTGTGTTGAATGTGTGTGTTTTTATATCTATTCCTCTGCATCCCTCTCCTTATTTCTTTCCCTCTCTCCTCTTTGTGGCCTTTTAAGTGCCGCCGTCCTCACAAACACCGGAAAGTGAAATCCTACCCTCTGATCATCGCTCCAACACTGCTAAAATGTGTTCCCATTTAAGGTGAGGCTCACCCAACCGCTTTGTGTGTGGCTTCCTTTTAAAACCAACTTAATCAGGCAGGAATTTGGGTTATTAGGGTCAGGGACACTGGGAAACCTAGTGAGAAACATGAAGAAGAGTGAGACGGTGAGGACACAGATGTGTCGCATCAGG